GGGTAATGTACAGAGCTCAGGGATGGGTAACACATAGAGTGCAGGGTTCAGGAGTAGGTAACATACAAAGAGCAAGGGTTAGGCTGAGACTCTGCAATTCCAAATTGTGGCAAAACACACAACCCGCATTTGGGTGCCAGCAGCAAATGAAAGAATCTAGATAAACTAAAGTCCCAGCCTCTTCTATCAATCTGCTCAAGCAATCCTGTGGATTGCTATAAAAGAGGCCTTGTCTTTAGTTTAATAATAAACAGCAGTGCTGAAGATTAATGCTCCACACCCAAAAGTCCCAAGGGGACCCAGCATTGCATCATGGGAGGAAGGGGAGTGAGTCATATGGTCCACCATACCTGGAAATACTGCCCATCTCTGGACCAGTGAAGGGAAGACAAGTATAAACGGCTGGGAGTAAAGACATAATAGGAGTTTGACATGAAGTTAACTTGTTTTGCCCTATATCTGCCAAGCACAGGTTTACTTTAAAATGAATATACGTTGGGTTTCTGCACTTTGTACATCATCTTTGTTCTGTGCACTTATCCTAAGTTTGTTGATCTACTGGTGGACCCTGTGTATTCATGGTAACACCATGATCCCTACAATTGTTCAGGAAAGACCAGTATGGTATATTCAATGTCGGCATGTTGTATAAAAACACAGATACCCATTCATATCTTATTGGTCTATGTTACGGATCTGGGAAGCTGACTCCATGTCCATATTGAGATACCTGACAGTCGGCTCATGAGGCACTGGCACTGTAGGCTAAGCTAGGTATGTCATATAATTGGATGGAAGTGCTTCATAATAGTGATGATCAGGGGCGGACTGACAACTCATGGGGCCCCTGGGCAATAGGGGATCATGGGGGCTCCTGTGTCCTGTGTCACACAAAAAAAGCCTATAAAAAGGTACCAGGGGCATTTCATGGGGCCTCCTACTGACTCTGGGCCCTCGGGCAGTGCCTGAGTACTCGAATGGTCAGTTCGCCCCTGGTGATGATACACAATCGGCTCTTCCTCCTCCACTTGTACTGGCACCACACTGAGCTGAAAAGACATAATAGTAGCAAGCCAAACTCCTACCCCCCCCCCCCATAAATAATTTGAAAAACAAAATATGAAATCAACAAAATATGAAACTGCTAAATTTCTTTTAATTTGCAAAAATAAGTGCTACAAGATGTCACCACCACCAATATTACTGACTATATATATTGACCAAATATAAATGACCTATTTTAACCAATCAGACAGAAACAAAAAAAAAAAAAAAAACAGTTCCGAAACTCCACAGTAATCAGCAGCCTCCAGCTGGCTTGCAGTAAGGGACTGAGTCTGAGAGGAACACCGGAAGGAGTGGCTGCTACACTAATCCCAGACATCTGGCATCTTCCTCTGTCCTTTCTTCCTTCTCTGCAGCCCCTCTCCTCAGCTGAAGGATCATTCATGATGTGGTGGCGTCCCAAACAATCAGCATCCTCACACCAACCATCGTCTGCCCCCCTCCTCTTCCTGTCACCTCCATGACCCACCATCCTCCTAGGCTCGGCTCACCCCTGATGGCTCCTGCTGAGGTACAGAGTCCAGGCTATGGCTCTCAGTGAGGATAGGTGGCCTCCTAGCACTACACCGCTTCCCTCTCATACACGTCAGGCCCCGATCATCCTACTCGCATAGGGTTAACCCTGCAACCAGATCACAACCCAGCCTATTGATTGGCTCCAGCTGTGTAGAAGAAGGTGGAGCCAGCGCTGGACATGTCCCATTCTGTCTGTAGCTGGCTCCCTATTACAGCTGGAGGATCGTGTGTGCCAGTAAGTTTACCGTAGATTGTATGGACCAATTCTCCAATCAGAGACTGCTGACCGTCCGGGGTTCTGGGCTAATGTCAACACTTCCCATCTTAGGGGGAGCCAACACTTCACTGCTACATGGAATACTTTTGTGTGTGTATATGTGTGTGTATATATATATATATATATATATATATATATAGTTGGTACTAAATAGTTATGTGTGTGGACAGACTGTAAGACAATTGTGCAGAGTTAAGATACCATCATTCCCTGTGTATGAGGAAAGCGGGACTCTGCAGAGAAGTGAAGAATTCATACAAGAGGTCCATAGGCCACAGAGAGTGCTGCACCCAGGCCCTAGGTGGCTGCCTAGTTAGCCTAGTGCGGGTGTCGGCAACCCGCGGCTCTTTTTCACCTTTCCTGCGGCTCCGGAGCACACTGCCCACCAGGTGACAGGCAATAGGGTCGGCAAGCCGCGGCTCTTTTAATGCAGATCTTCTGTGTGCCGGGCGCCCGCTGGCAAACATTGGCTGTCAGGATGTAGGCGGGGCAGCGTGACGAACTCCTCTCCTCTCACAGTCCGCCCTGAAGACCAGAACGGCGCGGGGGAACCCAGCGAGAGGAACGCGCGGAGCAAAGGTAAGTGAATTCACACAATATGGGGAATGAATTACTATAGGGGGGATGAATTACTATATGAATTACTATAGGGGGGATGAATTACTATAGGGGGGAAATTACTATAGGGGGGATGAATTACTATGGGGATGAATTACTATAGGGGGGATGAATTACTATGGGGGATGAATTACTATAGGGGGGATGAATTGCTATGGGGATGAATTTTTATGGGGGATGAATTACTATATGGGGGATGTATTTTCAGTTTTAAAAATGTTTCTCTCAAAATAAATTTCAATCGTGGTTTTGGCGAGATTTGGCTCAGTCGAAAAAAAAGGTTGCCCACCACTGACCTAAGGCTATGATTGTGATTATGACGATACACTGTGGCCCTGATTAACCCTTTGCTTACTGGGCCCTTAAACCCCCTTCATGACCAGAGCGTTTTTTGCAATATATGCAGTGTCGGATTTGTTTTTAAATGTTGCAATGGTTTTGCGGCTCCCAGTCTTTTTTTCCCTCTCGGAAACGGGTCCAAGTGGCTCTTTATGTCTTAAAGGTTGCAGACCCCTGGCCTAGTGGAAGCATTGGCCCTGCGTACAGCATAATAAAAACTACAGAATTTCTTACTCTTCCCTACTCTATCCAAAAAAAAGGGTTTGGATTTTAAGTCACCTGAAGCTGAAGACATGGAGTGATTGACATCCAATCTTGCCAACTTTTCTTAACCCCCCCCCCCCCCCCCCCCCCCCCCCATCACATCAAAGCCGATTTTTGAAGTCGTGCAACTTCGTGAAGTTGGTGATTTCAATATTGGGTGACATCTGACACGTCTATGCAAATCACAACAAAAGTCGTGCATGCATAAAAAACTTTATACAGAGAGGCATGGTAGTGAAAAGTTTATTTTAGGTGTATATACTGTATATGTAAAGATCAGTGACATGGGAAGTGTCTGTTTTTGCTGTTGTCCTCACCCATTCCTTCTCTAGTTCAATCAGACTGAGCATTCATGTTTAAATATGAGCATGCTTTACGCCCACGTTCTCCACCACTTGCTGTGGTTCTTCCCACCAGCCCCATATCACTATTGAGTCCTGTAGTGACATAGTGGTTAGAATCGCTTTAAAGTGATTCCCTGCTATGATTAGGCATGGCTAAGCAACATTTCATGGTGAGCATGGAGTGCCTTTATGGCAGTGCTGGCTGTCAAATGACCTGGATTGCAGTTGCATAAGTGCCTTAAATGTGTGAATACCCATGCGATCCGATTCTAGTGCGGACCCAAAAAAGGGTTCTGCACCTCTTTGGTGCGGGTGCAGTGTGAATAGAGCCATACAAAATGTACGGCTCCGATCGCACCGCACACAAATCGCATGTGATTTGTACAGGAATGCGGTGCGGTTCCTGTGCGGATCACATGCGATATACCGCACCGCATGTATGTGGACCCAGGCTGAGGGATGGGGACTGATGTGAATGTACAATATATAAAGCGCTGCGTAAAATAGAGGCACTATATAAGCCCCTGAAAGAAATAATGTGCATTTGTGTTGTGTTTGTGTGATGCTTATGGGGCGGCTCATTGAACGGGTGGCCCCGTGTGTGACAAATGTGCCAAAGAAGCTCCTGCACCTTTCACATAGAGCTGCACACAGTTTACTGTGCGTTTTTATTTATCTATTCAGGTACTTATATAGCACTGCACACAGTCAATTTATATAGCACAGCGCTTTACATATATATTGTACATTCACATCAGTCCCTAACCCTCAAGGGGCGTACAACCTAAGGTCCCTAACTCACATTCATACATATACATACTAGGGACAATTTAGACAGGATCCAATTAACCTTTGGAGTGTGGGAGGAAACCGGAGCACCCGAGGAAACCCATGCAAACTCCATGCGGGAGGCGCCATGGTCGAGAATCAAACCCATGACCGATTTACTGCAAGGCAGATGTACTAACCACTAAGCCACGGTGCCGCCTGTTTCTGGCATGTATTGCACGCAGAAACGCACGTCTGCTGACTAGGATGCCGTTAAGAATTTGAATGGCACTGAAGCCGCGACACGCGTTTTTGTGGACATTATTGAAGCACACAGATGTGAATGCAGCCCCTGGGCTCCTGCCCACAAGTGTACGCTGCATTCAGATCCAGAAATCATCTATGGTTACAATGGCTGAGCCTACCATAGGGAATATAGGGGACTGTGTAGGAGAGCTGCTTTCCTCCAAACACCAAGGACACATTTGTAAAACCCGGGACATTGCACAGCTAGGGGTCACCTTCCCAGCAGTGTTTAAGTGTACCTTATAAATAAAGTTGTTCGGGGGGGGGAAAAAAAAAAGGCGCATGACCCGGAAGCTACCTCACAAGCGGCTGTGTCGTGCTGCTTCGTTTTGTGATTGGTGAAGGAACCCGCTCCTGAGCGCTCACAAAGCTGTATCGTGATTGGCTCGTTTCTCTGTATCCTGTTCTCTGGTTGGTTGAACGGAGCTCGGCTTTTCATTTCCGCTGGCTTTCTCCTCCTGACCTTCTGTCAGCACAGCACACGGTGACCGCTCGGTGTAACCATGGTGGCTTACTGGAGACAGGCCGGCCTCAGGTGAGGGGAGCCCGGGGTCTGGGAGGATAAAGCGGGCCTGTTACATCACACGGCGTGGAAGACATCCACTGGGCCGGCCTCTGACCTGAAGCAGCTTCCTCAAGCGGAGCCCCGGCTGTGTGGTGATAATTAATGACTGTAATACAGAGAATGAGGCCTGTGAGCTGGATTTATTACCTGAGGGGGTGGTGAGGGGAGCCTGTCACCGCAGGTGAGGGAAATCACCAGCTGAAGTGTGTCTATGTGGGAATCCCCAATCTTCCCCCATCTTCCCCCAGTGTGTCGGACATCATCCCTCCCTGTACACAGAGTTGTGAGACCAATCCTTCCTTGTGACTCCGTGTTATACAGTGGCAGCACTTCCTGTTGCAGGTGACAACGTTTAGCCGCTGTCTCCCAATTATGCTTTGTGTTGTCAGCCTGCCATGCAAGTGCCTTTTAGGCTGCTTATCAGTTCAGGATGCCTGGCTGACAACACTGCTGCCCATGGCAAAGTAGTGTCTTAGTGTTGTCACCCTGCAGCATGAAGTGCTGATACTGGCAGGATCACCAGGTAAGAAACCTAGAAACAGATTTGCCAAAAAGATACATACCTAAAATGGAACGTCAGTCATAAACATCTGTTTAGTGTTCCTCATCCCCAGGTCCCCCCTCCAATCAGAACTCCAGGCTGGCCTAACCTTAAAAATGTACTAAAAAGTGAAACAGTACCAGTGTTAACCCCTCGCCCTCCAGAGGATTTACCCCCCCACCATGAAATTTTTTGCACTGCATTACTTTAACTGACAATTGGACGGTCATGCAATGCTACACCCAAATGAAATTTTGTCCTTTTTTTTTTTTTTTTTTTTTTTTTTTTTTTTTGCACGAATTGAGCTTTCTTTCGTTGGTATTTTATCAGCTGTATTTTGCTCTATAAACAACAAAAGACTGACAATTTTGAAAAAACCCAATATTTTTGACTTTTTGCTAAAAAACCTATCCAGTAAAAAAAAATTTAAAAATCAAATTCCGTCATAAACTTAGGCCAAAATGTTTTTGCTGAAAAAAAAAAAAAAAAAAATCCCAACACGTGTAAATTAATTGGTTTACGTGAAAGTTATAGCGTCTACAAATGATGGTAAATATACTGGATTTTTTTTTTTTTTTGTACTAGTAATGTCAGTGATCAGCGACTTATAGTGGGACTGCAGTGGGCATTCTGACACTGGGGGGAACTGACTAACTGCCACTGAAATCCCCAGTGACACTAATAGTGATCAGTGCTAATAAAAAGCACTGACACTACTAATGACACTGGGCAGGAAGGGGTTAACTTTTGGGCGAGCAAAGGGTTAACTGTGCTGTTTTACTAGGGAGACATGTTGTGCAGAGAAATACACAGCAGCATGTCCTTGATGGCAAGAGAGAGACCTGTGTTGTTTACACGCAGGTCTCTCCCCTGTCAGCTTTACACGGTGATCACCAGGTGCCGGCAGGGAGCCTCTGGCCAGGACCTGGTGATTGACATGCCTAGGTGCCATTGGCAGCACGGGTAGGGCTGTATGTATGCAAGCTCCCTACCCGGAAATATACATCGCACATATATGTGATTTTTTTTTTTTTTTTTTAGCAGCCCTGCAGCAGTATTTTTGCTATAGGGCGGCAGACAGCTGATTAAACACCCAATAATAATTTGCTGTAGCGCCATTGAAGAAATGAGAAAAAAAAACTAAATTGTAAACAAATACAAATCCTTCAAAAAATGGCCATAAAATGCCAGAATAGTGCTTCATCTCCTTTTAATAAACGCAGTAAGCATGAATCCACCGCCAATGTCAATGTGCAGGGCCCTCTCCCTTATGGTTAGTGGCCCCTGCAAGTCTGGAAACTGGGAAAGCTCCCAGTGGGGTCACGGATGTCAGGGATCACCAGAGTTTTTAAACCTTTCCTACTGTATCCAAAAACAAGTGTTTTGACTGGAGTTCCACTTGTATCAAAACAGAGAAGATGACCTGCCTATGGTTTGTGCTACACAAAGTAAATGGTAAAACTAAACCTGGAATGTACATGGCTCCAGATTGGTCCACATTTGTCTGCTCATACACTGGGTGCCAGTCCAGCTCATCACTGAGGCATCAAACAAGATCGGTGGATGACTGCACTCCAATAAAAATACTGCTTTATAATAATAAAACAATCCAGCATGGCAGGAGAGCAGTGTTGCCGTGTGTGCGTGTGCGTGTGTGTGTGTGTACATAAATACATCGCTATATCTCCAACTATTCTACATCCGTGTGTGTATAGTATCCTTTGTTTTCTAGCAGGCTTGTTGTTTCTGCTTTTTAGCTACATCCGCTACTCTCAGATCTGCGCCCAAGCTGTGAGGGCGGCACTGAAGCCCCAGTACAAAGCAGAAGCAGAAAAAGCAGCGGCTGCCAATGTGAGGATCACCAAACCGAAGAAAGAATGATCAGTAAGTTACCTAGAACTTCTTATTCTAACTGATTGGTCTGGTTCTTTAATGGCAGTTGGCAGGTCACTGGTGAAACCATCAAGGGGCATATTCAGTAAAGCAGAATAAAATAGAATAGTCTATTCTGAAAAGTCAGCACAGTTGCTTAGTGGTTCACACCTATGACTTTCAGTGCTGGGGTCCTCAGTTCAAATACCAGATAGTATGCTGCAGCTGTTCCTCGCCAGCCAAGTACTGAGTGATCACATGACCGCTGAACACTGACTTTTAATAACGGCTTTCCACTCTGCCCCTCCAGGTCTCGCTGGAGATGGGGCAGGAGCGGCTGGCTCAGGCTCTCAGATGCTCCAGCCCCGTGCTGATAGGCTGATCCAGCTGCCATTGTTGGAATCCCTGCAGAGCCTGGGCTTGCTCTGTGATGGTAGCCGTCAGCAGGCTTCAGCCCACTGCTGGCTGAATTTAGGTCACAGGCATGCAGAACTTAGTGCCTCCCTGTGACCCCTATGAGAAGTATGGCCAAAAGAGCTTTTGCTGTACTTCCTGTTTAAGATCATAATTATGTGGTTATTCAGATTGGTGTCATGAGGAAAGTCACGATCACAGAAAATCAGTAGGCTCTGTGCAATAAACTTCCAATGTGGTGGTTTGTTTTTTTTTTTTCTTTGTAAATGTATCTAGTAATTTTGCAACAAATGGTATATAAAGAAGAGCAAATTATACAGTATCTCCCAGAAGTGAGTCCACCCCTCACATTTTTGTAAATATTTGATTCTATCTTTTCATGTGACAACACTGAAGAAATGAGACTTTGCTACAATGTGACTTTAGTGAGTGTCCAGCAACACACACTTTCTGCTCCCCCCCCCCCCTCTGCTAAAGTAGCTGAGGGTAAAGGTGATGGACTGGCCAAGCATGTCTCCAGACCTAAACCCTATTGAGCATCTGTGGGGCATCCTCAAACGAAGGTGGAGGAGCGCAAGGTCTCTAATATCCACCAGCTCCATGATGTCGTCATGGAGGAGTAGAAGACTCCAGTGGCAACCTGTGAAGCTCTGGTGAGCTCCATGCCTCAGAGGGTTAGGCAGTGCTGGAAAATAATGGTTGCCACACAAAATATTGATACTTTGGGCCCAATTTGGACCTTGTCACTTAGGGGTGGACTCACTTTTGTTGCCAGCGGTTTAGACATTAATGGCGGTGTGTTGAGTTATTTTGAGGGGACAGCAAATTTACATGTTATACAAGCTGTACACTGACTACGTCACATTGTAGCAAAGTGTCATTTCTTCAGTGTTGTCACATGAAAAGATATAATAACATATTTACAAAAATGTGAGGGGTGGACTCACTTCTGGCAGATACTGTATATAGAGTTTGTATGGAGTTGCATGTATATCAGTAGCACAATTAATGCTGTTAGAATGTCAAATTGTGGAAGTATTTGGTGGTACTTCTAGTAATCTTGAATACCATCGGGGGGCGGCTACCTATCGTAATGCTTCTAAGTTACTTCTCTGAGCTGCCTGCCATCCTAGTCATTAAAAACAGGTAACGGTGTGAAGCCTGTCCTGTTTCCTATGGAGTTCTTTTGCTTGGAGCACAAACAATTGTACAACTAGAGGAGAAGCCGGAGAAGTGATTGGCCCTTTTGTCAGGCTCGCCACCCCCAATTTTTTTTCTCTTCTCTACAAACCAGGCAGAGCACAATGGACTTTTTGTGCAGTGTGTGGTTGTTGTTTTTTGTTTTTTTTTTTTCCTCTTTTAATTTAGTTACATCTTCTTTCTTACAAAGGAAGATGTAAACATAGGTTTGTAATACAGAGGCATAGAATCGATCACTACATAACATTTCCAAATTTTGCCACACATAAATGAGCGTAGAGATGGCATCTCATGTGGGGTCATAAGACATGTACTTCAATCAGATACTCAGAGGTATGTAAGAAGAGGAACATTGCAATGTAGTATTCAACTTAGAGCTGTCTTAACATAGAGCTGCCTGAGTGAACTGGCAGTGCAAGTACTGCACAAAAATCATAGCGCTGGTTACCTGCAAGACAGCTTACAGGAAATAAGAGAAATTAAGGGTAGCAGAAAGTAGTGGGGGGGGGGGGGAGCTGGTGGGAGAGATGCTCTCCGGTGTGTGTGTTTTTGTTTTTATGTGGAGCACTTTTTCTTTCTTTTTTTTGTTTTTGTTTTCTGTGGCTAGGTAAGACAGACCTTTGAATTTGCTTTGATTTTGGTATCTGGCTGTCTTCAGCATTGTGACTGCATCTCGTACGGCGTCATAGTTTGTTGTGTTAGTGACAAGTGTCTTGTATTAGTAAAATTTGTCAACCAATTGAATTTTATTTTTTTTTCTACCCTGCATTGGAAAAATGATAGCTGGAATCTGATGAAAATGGTCACATCTGCTATATGGTTCATTTTTGTGATATATAGTGATGGATGTATTCATTTACTTTTCAGTAATTGTGTTCCACTTTTTCTTCTTTCTTTCAGATGCTGAACACTAGAACCTGTGATAGAATCATGGATTGGCCTGGGGTTATTTCCTGAATACGTCTACAGCTGTAAATGTGTTGTTTCTAATTTAAACCACAAGACCAAATAAAACACGGATTGTTTTATTTGTAAATTCCGCTTTCTTTGGTTTTATTAGTTACCCTTCGAGAAGCTTTTTGGGGATCAGATTGGTGCAATTTCCCACGCTTCGATTTCATTTAGAATTTTTTTTTTTTTCCCCTTTGTTACCCCTTCTGCATCTAACAAGATGCACAGCAGGAAAAAAAAAAATCTTCAACATCTTATCACAATGTTTCTGAAGCAGATGTCAATCATGGTTAGAAAATCCTAAAGGCTTGTGTTCCTATCCAGCAAGTGTAGAATGCACCAACATTACTCTGTATTTTATCTACAAACCTCTACTGATCTATCGCTGTTGCAGTGTCTTCTGAAAGTGCTAGTTGCCTGGTTGTTGAATCTTTGATTCACTATACTCTCTAATTTACTAACCCCAAAAAAGTATTCCTAGCAGGAAGCTGAGTGACATTGGAGGTCATATGTGCATGTTTGTTTTGGATTAGGGGCTCGAAGCTTTAAAGCCATAGAGTCAGCATGACAATCCTTCCGCTGGCATTTGCAGAATGTGTCCAACAGCCTCAGTGCTCTCAAGTTAAGTGCTAGATGCAGTTACATTGTGCATAATGGCTGGTTTTCTAAATACACACTAAAGCTGGGAGCTGTTTTTGGATGGCACTGGTAAAATGTTTTGCAAATTAGACGATTTATGGCTGAATTGTGTGGGACTGGAGTTCTACTTGGATTAGCAGATTGAAGATGAGTTAAAGAGTTAGGCCTGGTTCACACCTATGCATGTTGCAATCTGTTAGGAGGTAAAAGTGCCCCTGACCCTATTCAAAAACACAACGGCTGAAAATGCATTGGTGTGATCGTGTCTCATAGGAAACCATGATAAATGGACTGTAGTTAGTTTCTGCAAAAAGCACTGAAAAATGCACCAGGCCTGCCATAGGTTACCATATGCAGTAATAAGGCCTGACCCCCACCACCCTTCAGTTCCTCATTGTTATCTATGAGGCCATGGCTTGTGCCACATTTCCTGTGTTCAGTAAATATGCTATCTCTAAGTAACAGATGTTCCTTGTATGTGATCTCAAAAAAGAAAGAATTGCTAAAAGAGCTTCCTGGATCTGACATTGCATGAATTTGAGCCTCTATAACTGTCTGTTATGGTTTTGTGGTAGTAGCAGGGTTGGTAAGTCCTTTTAATCACAGCCACTAGAATATAAAACCGTTACACTATTAGTGGAAGTATAGGTCCCAAGGCTCTCAGAATCCTTCTGTAAATATTGAGAACCCTGTCCCTCACCCATCAAAGCTTGGACTGAAGTCTGAATATCAAATACACTCCTTCCCCTGGAGAGTCCTTGAGTTTTATTGTAACATTGTAGAATCCTTTCACCAGCCTAGGAGCAGGTTCACGCTGGTGCTTCAGTTTGGACGTAGCACGGTATATCCCAGTTTTACACACATTTAGGTGCCATCTCATTTGACTTTCATCAAACCATGCATTTTCCTGAAAGTCCTGTATGCTGCCTCTTTGATGCACTTTCAGAATATACACAGTCTAATAGCGGCATAACATGTAGACGGAGTTGTGCTGCTGCCTAACCACTGCACACTGGTGTGAACCTGCTCTGTGGGCAGAATCCAGGACCTGAGATAGATATACTCCTGTTTTAAGTTAAAGCGTAACTAAAGACAAAACCATTATTTTTCATTTTGGATAGAGTAAGGAAGGGTTATAACCCCTGTCAGGGTTTTTTATTTTCTTTAGCAATCTGTGTCCCATAGGAGAGATTTTTCCTTCATTTAGGCTTGGTTCACACCTATGCTTTTTGCATTATGCTTTGCTTTTTTGGCACATTTTTTTTGTTTGGTTTTTTTTTTTGGAAAATTTTGTGTTGCTGGACAGAAAAAAAAAAAAAAAAAGCAAAATGCAGCAAAAACACTACACGTGTTTCAGCAGCTTCTCCATTGAACTCAATTGTAGCAAAAATGCTGCTTTTTTGTCTTTTTTTTTTTTTTTTTTTTTTTTTTTTTTTTTTTTTTTTTTTTAAAAAAGGCCCTGATCAAAAAAAGCATAGATGTGAACATGTCCCATGTTAAATGGACTGTAGTGCATTTCTGCAAAAAGTACTAAAAAATCACACTGGTGTCAACCAGGGGTTACGGTTCCATAGCCAAAACACCTGTCACCAGACCTCGTATCTGCATTGGAAGATTTTCCCTCTATTACTGCTTTTATGTCAATCCAAAATTTTGGATTTTTTTTTTTTTTTTTTCGGGTAGTTTTTATTAAACAGTGTTTTTTTTTTTTTTGTTTTTTTTTTTTTTTTTTTTTTTTATATTTAACAACATAAAATTATACGGAAACACATTTTCTGCATTATCAGTAGAAACATTATGGAGATATCCAAAGAAAATACAGAATACAAATAAAGCAAACTACCATAACAGATGTAAGAGACCTTGAGTTATAATTTTCAACTACAGCGAGTAGTAGTATTCCCAAAATTATCTAGATGTCACATTAATTTTGTAAAGCGCTGCACAAACTGTTGGTGCTATATAAATCCTGTATAATAATCAAAGATTTATACAATGCATCTTTGTTAGACTGAGAGACAGTCAACTTCCCAAACCATTGGCAGAGCAATCGCTGATCTCCCTGTCCTTTATACTTTAAGAACCCACAGAACACAGGCCTTTGTTCCAGATCCACAATAAGAAATGCATCTTGTTTTAAGTGTGTGTGTGTTTTAACCAGGATAAGGACATGGTGAAATGATTGTTATAGTGTATGTGTGTTTAAAGATCCAATGTATATTGCTGCAGGTCATTTTGACCACCAGGTTCTCTTTGGAATGAATGGAGAGATCTCAGAGGTCTACAGACTGGATACTGTCTTTACCATTTTTTTTTTTTTTTTATATCTACAGCGTGCATGTGTTCTGCATTTTTATATCTATAGAATTCTCTCCTGCTTGTGCTTAGTAAGGTAAGTCTCTTGGCCTAATTAATGCAGGTAATGTCTCACACATCTTGCTATAAAATGCACTTTTTTCATGCTAGTTACCAGAAACCAAAAAAAGACCTCTAGCCACGTGATAATTAAAGTGTTAATCTGACTTTTATTTGAATAGTTATAGATCATGCAAATGAGAAAATTTTTTTCTATAGCTGTACCTGAAAACCACACAGATCATAAGACTTGTATCACATATTTACAGTTCCTCTTTCAGTTCAGTTATTATAGACTGCATATTAAATGACTGTTAGTAAAGCTAGCACATAAAGGGTTGGTGGTTATTCTTTCTGTATTTAAGTTTCACAGCCAATAGGCATCTTTTTTGTTTTTTTGCTAAACTAGTTTAGAACAGGAAGGAGCTGGTTGCTAGCTGAAGGACAGTTCACCTGCCTAATACTACTTTGATTTAATTAAACTGGCATGTGCAAAATCTGGTGCAACTGTTTATGGTAGCCAATCGGCCTCTAACCTCAGCTTGTTAAATTTAAGCTTTGACAAAACAAACTGGAAGCTGATTGATTGGTTTCTATGCAGAGCTGCACCAGATTTTGCACTCTTCAGTTTTAGTAAATCTCCTCCATCTTGTCTTTAAAGGCTAAGTTCACCTTTGGGAACATGTTCTACCCATATTTAGGTGCAACATGCTCCTGCAGCTCTCTTACACATTTTCCTCCACCTCCCCTCCCCTCCCCTAGAGAGGGCTGGAGATCTTCAGTCCCCACTGTCACAATTTGAAAAGGGTGCTCCATCCACACGACCACGTCATTCATTCAGAGTTCTGTGCATGAATACCTACAACCATGTCACCTTTCTGGCTGACAGCTTATAGTTCTCTAAGAACTGCAAGGGTGCTGGTGAGTGCTTTTGTAGTCCATTGAGCTTCCTGGACTGAAGCAACTGCCTGTCACTGTAGCAGTCTGCTTGAAACCTCTCACTGTAGCAGTCCGTATGGTGCAATGCCAGGCTCCTGCAATCTGCTGATTTGCGGGTGCAATGTTTTACAGGTGCCTAAGGGGGAAAAAAAAGTGCATTTATTTTTTTTTTTTTAAAGGGGGAACTTATTCTTTAAAGAAGCCATTTACAGTTATATGGATTACTGTGACTAATGGAAAGGTCTTATTTCAGCTGCTTTGATAAGTGAGGCTCAGTAGATTTCACATTTAGTGCAATTACTATATTGCTGTGAACTGTTATATATAAAATATAAGTGAGAAACAGTCACACAGATTAATATCAAAAGTTGCTCATTGCAACCAATTGGAGTCTAGTTGTCTTTTAATAGTTAGGATTAAATATTAGACCCAGTATGTGTTATGAGATTTCTGCCTTCACTTTATATATGAGTTGGTGTGTCATGCTTTCTTAGTATTGCTTATTTAGAGAAACCATATACTGTTGGATTAGAGATTTAATTTAGGCCTCGTTTATAGTGGGGAGTGGTAGAAACGCATGGCTGAGATCAGAGTGGATTTGATTTAAATCACGATTTAAATCACAATTTAAATCACTAGTCAGTAAGGCTTGATTTTAAATCCTAGTTTTCTACATTCTTGCTGGTATAACTTTAATATGCAAGTAGATGAAGATTTTTAGAATAACAACTTTTCATATTAGTTTTTTTTATCCCCAGTTTAATAGGTTAATCATTCATATTTGGACAACTTTTCTGTCGTACTTAGGAAGGAGAAAAATAATCATTACCTTAATAATAACAATTTAAATAGATTTATTCAACTGAAACAATAACATTCCAGCATATGGTTATTTGCTTAAACATCCATGTTTGTAACTAATTTGGCTAAACAAAATCTATATATTCTAAGAAACTTAGCCTGTCAGCCCCTTCCTCCTCACACTTAGTTTCACTTTCTTCTTGTGCAGATCTATTCCACTCCAAACAATCAGAAAAATATTGTTTCTATTCTATTCACTGAACTTCTTGAAACTTAGCACTGAAGGGGTTGATTCTGTATTCATAGGTTTGTAGAAGTTAGGATGAAGGTCTTTTTCTTAACTCTGTTCATGTTATAACATTTTTGCTGTGAAGAAGAGGCATGTGATCTCCGCTGAGTCAAATTCAGTTTTGAGAACTGCAAAAGTAAACCAATCATCTGTGATAATATCTTGTAGGCAGAGAAACTGCCCAATAATCTTACAAAAACCTCTGGAAGAGCATGACATTGTGAATGGATTCATGGAATTTATTTACCAAAAAAATTAAACCTATACAGCCTTATTGTACATAATTAAAAAACTAATCTTTATTTCCTGATGGAATAACCTTTGGATGGTAATATATTTTCCTCAAAAAGCATTTTATTTAAAAAAATCCAATTTAAATCCAAAAAAAATCCAATTTAAATAAAAAAAAAATCCGTTTTTTTTTTTTTTTTTGTATCATTGATTTTTATCCACCCTGGCTGAGATGCATTTTAACTGCCTTCAACTGCTCCCTCTTAAGCAGTAAAGATGGGGAGCAGAGTGTACATATGCCACAGCCACAATACTAGGGGCAGCACAGTGGTTAAATGGTTAGCACTTCCGCCTGGCAGTACTAGGGTCGTACTAGAGCCCTGAGGCTTGCACTACTAAAAACAATCCAGCAAAGACGCATGCCTAGAATATAGAGCAGCCAGTATGGTAATAGTGTGCATTTGTTTTTTCCACTGTGGTGAGGAAAACAAAAAAGGTATGGTTGCTATGGATAACACTTCTGTTTTGATTAGTTTTCATAAAGTAAGCCTGATGAACTTGGTGCGCTTTCATTATTTCTTCACTAATGATCGTAAAGGCAGCTGCTTATCTCCTGTAGCAGCACAAGACAAAAAAAACATTGGCACAAACAATGTAGACTGCAGCTCTACCAAGATATAAAAAAAAATCGGCAGTTACTTTTCTTCTTTTTTTAAACAAATTGATATTTTAAGACAGATTACAAAATATAAATGCACAGGTTAAAAGACAGTTATCAGTTAGTATTCTGAACATGCGGTTTTTGCTTTGTACCTAGAAAATATCCAATTGCTCGAAGTGTGGTCATCTTAGACTAAGCATTTTCAGATAAAATGTATGTTTCACTTCACATTCAAAGAATAGTGATCAGTTCTTTTGATAATCAACACACACTGCTGTCCTGTTTTGCTTGCTGGAGTCCAGAGAATAATCCCTAAATGCTGTGTTGGACTCCCTGCTCCCACACTCATGTAAGTGTCGGAGGCTTACAATAGGCCACTCAGCATTTCAGCGGAAAGGAATTGGAGTGAGTAAGATGTTCTACCTCCCAGATGGGGTTTTTTTTTTTTTTTTTTTTTCCCCCTCTCTAAGTCTTCAGTAGGGGAATGTGCTAAAGGTTAATATCAGAAGGAGTGGGGAAGTCTTATGAAGAGAACCATACCGTTTTCCTCGAATAGGCAACGTGCCTGTTTTTTTTTTAAGACTAGTATTGCACATGAGCTTTAATTTGTGCTACTGAGGGAATTAACTAGTTATCTTGTTGGTGGTACATTAATGGCAAGGCAATGATTGTCAATGAGTGGTTAAAACTCTTAGTAGCAAAGAAGTTCCATTGGTTGTGTAGGCCTAGACTTAAAATGACCAAAGAACGAACATAAGCTTCTTTTCTTATTTTCTCCAACACTGCACTAGAAAACTAAAATTCAAGATATTTGCTTGCTATATACAAGAATTGTTCTTTCTTCTGACATTCGGCCAGTTGTGTTCTACTTGTACACCCTGTCTATGGTCTCTGTCACTTGTACTACTTCTTCCACCTCCTCAAAATCATCTATATCTGCTGTGGCCTCCTGGTACTGTTGGTATTCAGCAATCAAATCATTGGTGTTGCATTCTGCTTCGTGAACTCCATTTCATCCATCCCCTCACCAGTATACCAGTGGAGGAAAGCCTTCCTGCGGTACATGGCTGAAAACTGCTCAGCGATGCGACGGAAGATCTCCTGGATGGCGGTGTTGTTTCCAATAAAGGTGGAGGCCATCTTAAGGCCACGGGGTGGGATATCGCAAACAGCAACCTTGACGTTGTGGGGGATCCACTCCACAAAATAGGCACTGTTTTTGGACTGCACAGCCAGCATCTGCTCATCCACTTCTTTGGTGGACATTGGTCCACGAAAGATGCCAGCCACTGTTAAGTAACGGCCATGGTGAGGGTCACATGCAGTCATCATGGTTCTGGAGTCAAACATCTGCTGTGTGAGCTCAGGCACTGTCAGAGCCCTGTATTGCTGGCTCCTGCGTGATGTTAAAGGGGCAAAGCCAGTCATGAAGAAATGAAGACGAGGAAAAGGCACCATGTTCACTGCTAGCTTTCTCAGATCTGCGTTAAGCTGTCCGGGGAATCGTAGCGAGGTGGTTACTCCACTCATGGTCATGGACACCAGATGGTTAAGGTCTCCATAGGTCGGGGTGGTCATCTTCAGTGTGCGAAAGCAGATGTCATACAAAGCTTCGTTGTCTATGCAGAATGTTTCATCTGTGCTCTCAATCAGTTGGTGAATGGACAAGATGGCATTGTAAGGTTCCACTACTGTGTCTGAGACCTTGGGAGAAGGCATTATACTGAAGGTGTTCCCTATCCTGTCTGGATATTCCTCCCTTATCTTGTTTATCAGGAGAGTGCCCATTCCTGATCCTGTTCCTCCTCCAAGAGAGTGCACCAGCTGAAAACCTTGTAGACAATCGCAGCTTTCACTCTCTGTTCTCACCACATCCATCACTGATTCTATCAGCTCCGCTCCCTCAGTGTAGTGGCCTTTAGCCCAGTTGTTGCCAGCTCCGGAGTTGCCTGCCATTTTAAACCATATTAAAAATGATCAGGTTACAAATATAAAAAGATACAATCACATGATAAATACAACAAATTTCTGTAAGCCTGACTCAACAACTTGGGCTGATGAATGTTAAGAGGCTCAGTGGTCACCCATTCTGAGGAATATCCAGGGGAGGACTGACCATTTGGAAACTCGGGCACTGCCTGAGGGCCTGGGGTCAGTAGGGGGCCCCATGAGCTGCCCCTGGTACCTTTTTTTTTCATAGGCTTTTTTTGAGTTTGGGCAAGGACACGGGCCCCAAGATCCCCTATTGCCCGGGGGCCCCATGAGTTGTCAGTCCGCCCCTGGGAATATCCCTATACTGAGGAATGACTTGCAATGCCTCCCATCACTTAGCATTTTGCCCCATCCTTTTATGACCATAGCTGTTCATACTACTGTATACCCTGATGTATTCTGTTTCACTGAATAAAAGAACATTGACTTGTGTGATCTACCAATATTGTCAATTATATTTTCTACATTATAATACTTGATCATAATAATTTGTTAGCCTTCTGCCTTCCCCTAAAAGCTAGGCTTGTCCCACAGCAATAGACCACACAGAAGAGAGGAGTGTTTGTAACATACCATGAATAAAACTGTCTGGACGAAACAGAGGTCCAATGGCACTGGAGCGCAAGCTGTCCATCGTTCCGGGTTCCAGATCCACAAGCACAGCTCGAGGGACATACTTCTGGGCTGTGAAGGCATAAACCAAACTTAAAATTACATCCAGGAGAAAATTTGCCTTTGATCTGACCTTTTTATGAAAAGTGAAAGCATAAATTTTACTAATAAAATGTTTTGGAAATGTGTACATTGTCTGTCTGCTTTTGAATCTGAAAGCTGAGAGCCTCGTGCCTCATAGTGTCACTATTGATCCAAACCACTAGTCAAATTCTAACTTGTATTGCAAAGGGGCGGTAGGAGAATAGATAGGGTTAGTTATAACCTTTTTCTAGGGCAGCATTTGAAAATATACACTGATCAGCCATAACATGACCACCCACCATAACTTGTTGAGGTATGGATTCCACTAGACCTCTACAGGTATACTGGGTATCTTACACCAAGCTATCAGTAACAGATCCTTTAAGTACTGTAAGTTGCAAGGGTTTTCTCTTCGGGAGAGCCCCCTGACCAAGTACTGGGTGTCCGGGCTTCGGCTGGACACAAGGAACGGTGGTCCACCAGGCCTTTTGGCTAGGAGGACCAAATGGGAACCTTGTCCCTGTCAGGAGCTTCGTGCCCCGGGGGATCAGGGTAGCGGTCCAGCCCCTTTAAGGGTAGGACAAAAGCACACCCCTAAGTGCACTTTTTTGTGTGGTGTTTTGCACTTGCACTTTTTTTGTGAACACTTACGGGTTTTTTCGTTATAGTTACACGTTTGCGGACTTAAAAAAAAAAAAAGTTGCAAGGTGCGGCCTCCATGGCTTGGACTTGTTTTTCTAGTACATCCCACAGATACTTGATTGGATTGATACTTTGAAGGCCGAATAAACACCTCAAACTAACTATGTTCCTCAAACCACTCTTGGATTTATCAGACCAGGCCAGCTTCCTCCATTGCTCCATGGTCCAGTTCTGATTCAATAGGCACATGCCTATTGTAGGCACTTTTTGCTGTGGACACGGGCCAACATGAACACCCTTGACCATTGTCCAGCTGCATATGCAACAAATTGTGATGCACTCTGTTCAGACTGCTTTTGGTAGGTCCTGACCACTGCAATCAGGAACATCCCACAAGAGGTGCAGTTTGGCGTTGATCTGACCCAGTCCTCCAGCCATTACAATTTTTGGTTCTTGTCAAAGTCATGCAATTCCTTACGCTTGACCATTTTTTTTTTTTTTTTCCTGCTTTAAACATCAACTTCAGGGACATCATGTTTACTTGCTGCCTTATCTATCCCATCTTCAGGGGCCATTGTAATGAGACAGTCGATGTTATTTGCTGTACCTGTCCATGCTCATAATGTTATGTCATTCATAATGTGGCTGATTAGTGTAGATCTATAAAATGCGAAGTGTTAAGCCCTTAACAAGAGGTGAACAAACAAGACCATGGCTCAAAATATAAACCCATGTAGTCTCATAATTTGCTCTACTGAGCCAACTCTTTTTAGAATGTTTAATGTGGTTTTAAAAAACTTACAGTGAGCCTCATTGAAGTAGACGTTGACCCGCTCCAGCTGCAGGTCCGACTCTCCTTTGTAATTTCCCGCATTGTCAATACCGTGCTCGTCACTGATCACCTCCCAGAACTAGGAAGGAAATATTAAAAGACCACTCTGATCTTTAGTACTATAGACAGCAGTCATGGAAGACTATTATGCACTATTGAAAAACACTATTGACACAATCATGTTAACCTACTGTTATTGTTTACATGTAATTAGGCATAAGGAACATGGAGTGAGCATGCCCTTTTAAACGTCTATGTGAGCACAGGTTGTTCCTGTTAAAGTATTTGTACACCCTCATCTTGTAAAACAACCCATACAGTTTACAATGGAAATGAAAGGTAAAACAATTTGTGTGCATTAAAGAAATATAAACGCCTTCCCTTCTTTAAAAAAAAAAAAAAAAAAAAAAAAAGTGGTCACGTTCCCTCTGTTCTCAGCTGCATAGAGAAGGGGGTGGTGGGGATAACCTGTAAAATTCGGGTCTTCCCAGTGAATGGCTGTTCGAGGGAAGTCTGGTCCATGAAGGAAAGCACATTGAGTTCCCAGTACAGCTAGAGAACTGGCCATGCTGTGCTCTCATGCCTAGTGTGGTCCGTTTTTATTCGGAAAGCAGAGGGACTGGCAGGGACATCAGGGATTTCACACAAAGGAAGCCATACAAAGAGAACGGGATACTTTTCATACAAGTACATGGTATAGCAGGCACTATCAGGAATATAACATGTTGGGTTTACATATTCCTTAAAGTGTTACTAAACTCAGGACCCTCCATTCACTGTATCTGGTCTCCCACAGTACACAGGACATGGAAATGCAAGTATTTATTTTAGTAAATATAAATGACTAAATTCCTTTTCTCACCAGCAGTATATAGCAGTCTTGTGACTCCTATCAGTGTCCAGTTGAGCACTGGTTAATCTTGGAGAGGTTTTTATTCTGCTCTGATTGTCCAATGAGGCTGCATAACCCCTGACCTTCTGTCTGGACATTGCTGATTGGCCCTGTGCTGATCACATGCACTCTCCAAAAGAAAAACTCTTAACAATACACACTAAACTGAGCATGTGCAGAATGAGTCCTAGAGCTCTGTACTATTAGCAGATGGATTGGGGAGGAGGATCAGAGAAGAACGAATCAAAAAACCTTTTTACACAATGCGGAGGATTAACACCTTAGGTTCCACAGTGAGTATAACAAGCATGCTTTACTGCATCTGCAGATCGATTTGTACTGTTGTGACTTTAGTAACACTTTAAGGGCTTTGGGTGATGATTTGCATTAAACATATTGGAGATAATTTGGTAAAGTAGTAGAGGCTGTACAGTAGATGTATTTTTACTTTTCAAAGTGAATGTTCGCAAGTAAAGTGAACCTATGTTCACTTTCAATGCCCAATCCTGTATGAGGGCAAAAAAAAATGGGTAATTGCTAACACATGATTGGTTTGGAGATTTCATAACGTCACCTTATTTAAACCTGGTAAACGTTCGCTTAGCCAAGTAAAAAGTCTCTAGTAACTCGACCCTGTATTTTAAGGACAGAACAGCTTTTGGAAAACCTAGGTGACTCTTGTAAAGGTCTGGAGGTGACAAGTTACCAAGCAGGATAATAACATGGTCTACGATTTCAACATTTGCAGTACAGAACTACAAGCACTCATCACCCGGTCCATTTCCGGAAGAGGCTGCAGTCTTTTTACAGAGCTTGGCAAGAATTAAAAAACAACACTATATTCAAACTCCTATCTGTCATCCCATTCCCATGACAAGCCCGCATTTCCCTTATCAGCCTTCCGCACAGTCCTATGTAGCCACAACCACACCCTTGTCTGCCCCAAAATCTTGATTAATAATAGCGGAGCATTGTTACCCCGAAGAGTAGAAGGTCAGCTTATTACAGGCAAACTCAAATGACTTGACAAATGAGACATTCAGCTTTTAAATATTTTACACTGAAAAAGTTCTGCTTATACTGAAAAGGGTAACTAAAAATGGCGGTGTGTGTATGTATAAAAAAAAAAAAATATATATATATATATTTGGAATTTTTTTTTTTTTTTTTTTTTAATACTAGCAATGGTGGCGCTCAGCGACTTATAGTGGAACTGCAGTGGGCATTCTGACACTGGGTGGGAACTGACTATCTGCCACTAACATTCCAATGACACTAATACAGTGAACTGTGCTATTAGAAAGCAATGACACTGGGCAGGAAGGGGTTAACATCTGAGGTGATCAAGGGTTAACTGTGTGCTATTTTTCATCATTTTCTGTGTGTTTTACTAGGGAAACATGCTGCTTTATATTTCTCTGCTGTGCAGAGAAATACACAGCAGCTTCTGCTTGCTGGCAGGAGAGAAATCTGTGTTGTTTACACACAGGTCTCTCCCCTGTCTGTTTTACTCGCTGATCACCGGGTGCTGGCAGGGAATCTCCGGCTGGTACCCAGTGATAGACATACCCAGCCGCCAATGGTGGCGCATGCACCCCCTGCCCGGAAATGCAAATCACATGTATATGTACATGATTTTGCGCAGCCCTGTAGCAGTAGTGGTTATATAGGTTAAGTTCACCTTTGGGAACAGGTTACATTTTCCATCCATTTTTAGGCTGGAACATATAACGGCCAAATGAAGCTCCGCCCACACCATCTGCGTCATTCATTCACAGAGTTCTGTGAATGGGAAAACTACATCTTCCGCCAGCCTTTACGGCTGACAGTTTGCGGTTTTTAATGAACTACCTGATGAGCTGGTAATTCATTGATGGTTCCTGTCGTGTAACTGCCTGCTAGTACAAGGTACAAGCAGAAAACTTGTACTGACAGTCTGCAGGAGCCCTGCATTGCACCTGCTGATTGCTCTGCAGGCTCCTAATAAAATAAATGCACTTTTTTTTTAATCTTCAAAAAGATGTGCGTTTTTTATTATTATTATTATTTATAATAATTTTTTTTTTTTTCAATTAAAAGTGGAGTACAAAACAAAGGTGAACTTATCCTTTAAAACCAATGTGAAATGGTCCACTGTTTCTTGTTATTGGCAATTTGCCAAAAAAGTTTTATATTATTATACTGGACACATCTCTATTACGCTTGTTGGTCTAGATACCTATTTGTGAAACTGTCCTTCAATCTGATCTCAAAAATTATTTGAAACAGATAAATATATCTGTTTCAATCATTTTTATTGCGATCAGATTGAAGGACCGTTTTTTGTTTTGTCCCTGTTGTGTAGGTTAGAACAATAAAGCCTGTGAATAATCAGGGAAAATGAGTATCAAACAAATGAATCCGCTTTATAATAGTGTATGTATGTGTGACATGCTGTGGAAGAGGAGTGGTCACACAGCTGTTTATTGTATGTTTTCCCTCATATACCTGACAAGGTTTTGGGGTATTGATCACAACATCTCTACTGAAAGTGAGGTTCACCATTAAACAGTTGTTGATTGGCCAGCTCCACCCCCAATGTCAGTTCACTCAGCCCCTTCGGCAGAGTCCAGGCAACCATTTTCAGCAGTTATCATTTAATGTTCTAATGCAGTAGGATGCTTTTTATATTTTAAAAGTATCTATGCAGTCAATGAATGTGGGTGGAAGTTCTGGCCTGGTATTCTGGCTGTATTACGTTTTTTTTCTTTATCAGCAGAGCTAAGCAAGTGCTGTGCAGTACAATGTCAGTCTTGTTGTTGATTTGTAATTGGCCGTGCTCTCTAATCTGCCCTAGGACACGGGACCTACAGGAAATAGTCGCAACTATGTCAGGTAATGTATCAATTCTGTTTTACATGATGATAGAATATTTCTCGATGAGTTTACAAGATAATTGTTTTCTAGAATTCAGGCACTGGAACATTTCACTGTGATGATTTGAATGGCAGGTTCCTGAACTGCTGTGCTGTACTGTGGCACAGACCAGATAGGATGAAGTGATTAAATATATTTTGCAAGGCTGATGTCTCATGCCCCTCCCTCATTTTCTGGAACTTTTTTTTTTCTGTCCATAATAGTAGTGCAGAAATTTTTCTCTTTTATTCCTATAGAGTAATACAAATATAGTTCTAATTCTTAAAACTAAATGGCAGATATATTGATTTTATAATCTATTCTTTGAATTTAAAAACCTGTTACTCCTGTGAGTTATTTTAAAATGCCACCTGTTGTGCTTGTTTTAAAATGGTTTAAATGCCTTCAGACTCTAATTGCAGGTACCTAGTGTATTTAAATTGCAGAACCCTCCTGGGAAACTGTGGCCTCTCAGTACAGTAATGCAGCTTGGAGGCTCTGGCCAGCCCGCAGCTCTCAATGTAATGCAATGAATCTATCTAACAAATGGACAGAAGGGCATTGCAAAGGAAAGGGGCAGGCAGAGCTTTGACTTTTAAAGTTGAAGAACACCCCCCCCCCCCCCGACCTCTGTAGCTGGAGACACTGGAACAATTCATCCTCAGATCGCAGTAGAAATGCTGAAATCAGAAATTGGTGGGTTTCTAACAGGCTAACAAATTCTTGCTGCAGGAAGGAGCAATAGATGATAAGCTACAATTTCAATGGTCTGATCACTGCAAAGTTTACTGAGGGCTTGTTTTTCTACAGCAACTTTTTTACTGCTTGTTTTCAACATAGCCTGGGCAAAGGTACCCTTTTAAGCTCTTCGGTCAATTTTAAAAGCTTAGAATTAAGAACAGGTTTAGTTTAAACATTTACATATCCTCTAACCTTGTTTACTACTAGTTGGATAGTTTCCTTCTCATATTAATGTGCTACCTCACCGAGCATTCATGCATTGAGCAGAATAGCTACACACGCACTTGTACAGGAACCTGACACTGCCAGAAGACTCGGGCTGAGGCCAAACACTTGTAAAAGGTGAAGGGAACATTAGATGAATATTTATTGCTTGAACAATGTATGCTCTGTGCTACTTCACAACTTTTTTTGAGGTGGAAAAGGACACATTCTAGCAAGAACTAGGCAAAGAACACTTCAGTGATTCTGCCCAGGTTGATTAGTGGACAAAAAAAGATTGGTTTTACCCCAAAATCTTTTTTGTTTTCATTTTTCATCACTATTCTTTTATTTTAGCTTATCGAAATATCACATGTAATAATGTAAAGGTTAAATAAAAGTATTATATTTCAGTATATATTCTATCATATTATTCTTTTATAGAACTCTGTACATCAGACCAAAAAGAGGGTTTGTCACCTTACTGGTACATGTACCAGTAGCTGGGATACTCTGCTCTAGAAAGATTCTACAGACGTATTGGGCTGTGTAAAGCAGATGTGGCAAGCGGGAATAACTGCAAAAATGTTGACAAATTAAGGTTGTTCGTAATATATGGGGGAAAAATCTGAAAATATAAATAAAAGAAATGTATTCCCCCACCTTCTTCACCTCACAATAGTTGAATGTTGACATGGTATACTTCTGTCCTATCTAAATATGACATGAAACTGAAAATATATTGTCCTGGCTTTCCTAATGGTAGATGCCATTGCTCTTATCACATTCAATTCTCATGTTACTTTATAGCTACCAGTGTTGTAAAGATAGTTGCCAGAAACATGCCCTTGATATAATTGTGAGTAGTTTCGTTTTTGGGCAGTTTCTCCTAAAAAAAAATATATATATATTTTTTGTATCCAGCAATCTCTTGTGTATGTTGCCTCTAACATTAGAGAAAAATCTCTGATGGGAGAAGATACGCGTACTTGATAACATGTAATTAGTGGTTTCCTCACCCAAGATCTTGTGTATTGGATTAGTCAGATCTTTCTGAGCTTGGAGAGAAGGATGTGACTGCCGATTATCGTTGAGGTGGGCGAGATGCACCTTTTGTGAATATGGCAGACCTTCCTATTTGCACAGACACTTTACAGTGTCCTTTGCTCCAGTTTGGTTCCCACATTGTCCTATCTGCAGATGGAGGATCTCTCACATGCTGCAGCAGAAGAAGGTCGAGCAGATGACACTTGTTGTAGTTCAGTCATTCAAATGATGTTTTAGATGACCCGCATTGATTACTTTAATGGTCTTGTGATTGGATTAATATTTGTATACAAACATGGATGATGGCCTGGCACTAACATTTAGGTTGACAACTCTACTTTGTAAAAATTGAATTTCTACCATTCCTCCACCACCTGGATGAAGGATGTTTATATCTGGAATTCCAGTATTTACTTGCTGCGGGCCTGTTCCTGGTCAGTGGCTCACCAAGTAGTGAGGAAAGGATTAAGGCAGAACCTAAGCCTGCGCCTTCAAAGACAACTGGCTACAAATAAGGGAATGGCTATTGTTAAGAGGTTCTAGTCAACCTGTTTCTGGGATTATCCTGATTCTAAAAGTCCGTTTTTTCCCTGATAACATTCCTGATTTTGAACCGGTCAGCAGAACAATACATATAGAATGTTGCCCTCAGTTCTTACTATTTTTTGTTAGCTTTTAAGGTACCAATTCGGTACTGTCCGTGATACTTTTTTTTTTTTATTTGCACTAACATACAATTTTGAGGACAAGCTTTGCTTCAGGGTATGTCCCCTTCTTCAAGGTCCAGGCAGGACCTTGTATGTAGTGGCAAATAAAAGAAAGTATCACGGACAGTACTCAATTGTTTCTGTCGCAAGTGCACTAATACGGCTACAATCACCTCAAGGTACCAATTTTAAATAGAACTGTTAAGAAAAAACATTATAAAATTTTTTTTGTAAATGGGAAACAAAGCATACAAACGTGTAGCCATCCTCCAAGCCTGCAGTACAGTTGGTCTTAGGATCACTACTTCAGCAGTAATTACCCCTAGAAATAACAGCCAGACCACAACAGGGGTTCCCTCATTATCAGGGAAACCACCAATACGAAGTTAAAAACAAACCTTTTTTTCAATTCATGTGCAGCCAAAGAGCTAGAGGAGTTAGCAAGACACACAGCAGGAAGATCTGTAGCAGAGAGAGGGTTAAAGAAAGTATTCCGCATAATTAATGGTTGAGTGAGACAATCGTAGAGACCCGATCTACAGACTGAGAAAGTGCGTTCATATCGTAAACTTGGGCAAATTGTTTAATCTGTCATTGTGTATAATTTAGAATATTGGATGCTATAACTGCAATAGCTTCTAATTACCTTTGCTCCAATTTGGTTCCCGCATTGTCCTATCTGCAGGTGGACGATCTCGCGCATGCTGCAGCAGAAGAAGGTTGAGCAGATGACACTTGTTGCAGTTCAAAATGCCTGTGACTCTGCAAAAAGGGTCCAGCCGTTTTTTATAGTGGAGCTGACATCATCCATCATCGGCGCGCTGTTATCTCTATAAGGCTGCTGGGTGTAGGGACTGAGCAAGGAGCTCCCTTGTAAGATAGGCAGGGTGTTCTAATGAAGGAAGAAGACAGAGGGGAACCATCCAGAGCACTCAGGGCTCAGATAAACTAGAGACTACTTTAAGTGTTCCTCAACTGGTTTTTCAGTAAGGCACCCTTTAAAATTCTGCACAATTTTGAGGCACCCCGATCTAAAATGTAACTAAACTAATAGTTTACCATAGCACAGCATAATCCACACACGTAAGACACCCAACGTTCTAGGTGATTTATTCTTCTGTAGGAAACAAACCTTTGCACACTGGTACTGATTAGTATTCTCATGTTTCTCTTCTCCCTCAGTTTCTCTCCCTTTCAGCTAACATGACCCCAGTGCTGATGGAGAGGGCCATGGGAGGGTAGACAAGGACGCTGTGCAGTCCTCCGATGTCCTTCTTATCAACCAGTGACATCATTGGTTATTAGAATGCCAAGGGCTAGAAGGTTCTAATGGAAACCTATGGCTTTGTGGAACTAAAAATCAGGCTTGATCCACCTGTATCCAGCTTGTATACAGTTTTTAGGCACTTTGCCAAAAATTGAAGGCAACCTGATTGAAAAAGGCTGGACTAGATGACTAAATGACATATTGGGACCTCTAATATAAATCCATTAACTGTTTTTCTTTCATAAGTATAGTCCCTCTTTTGGACCCAAAGCATGGTTCCTTCTTTTTTTTTTTTTAATTTAAGTATATCTTAATGTGTTCTGTGGAGTATGCTTATAATGAAATAATTGATATAAACAAAATATAACAGTTTCACACCTAGATGCAAATTTTTAGACAAAAAGTACTTCCCTAAACTGTGGAGGATCGGTCCAGGAAGAGCAGGAGGTGGATGGACTAGGTTGTCAGACTGGACCAGAAGAGGTGTAAACACAAAAGTAGTGAGGAAATAATGGGGAGAGAAGGTGGTTTGGGAGGAGACAGAGAGTTGTTTGTAGCAGGAAAAGGGATTCATTTATGGGGTGAAAATGGCGGGCAGCAAATACTGCATCCATTACAAGCAGCTGATAGGGGAGGCAGGATCCTGACGAAGTGACATTACATTCTGTTTTACAGGAGATCTAATTCTAACTGGATGACATTTACTTTGCTAAATGTGGGAAGTACAGTGTATCATAAACCATTGCCATGCCTTTTTTCTGTATATACTGTTCACTATATTTCACCCTTTGTTGCATCTCAGTGTTGCTGATCTCCACCAGACTTTGTCTCCTCCATCTGTATGCACTGGAACCACTGTTAGCCGCATATGATTGCTCTGGAAAAGCTACCCCATAGTAACAATGATGAACAATGCCTGCTCAGGATGTGGCATCATGACTGCTTGTAGTCTTTATCATGGAAACAGGAGACAAGGTGACAATGCAGGAGCACAATACAGAGACAGGAACGGAGTGTTGTCATAACATCGCGGGAAGACCTGAACAAGGCCGGTTCACCAGGTATTTTCTAAGGAAAGCTTTAGATTTATAAAGATTGAAAACCGATTTGAAATTACAAGAGCAGGTTAAAGCCGATAGGAGATTGTAATAAATGAGTTTAATCAACTTTATTATGTTTTTTTATTAAGTGCTGGAAATTTAAATTGCATCTAAAGTTATGGCGTGTATTTCATCTTGTTCTTTGCTGTTATATGTGAAAATTGTACAAACCTGGTGTATGTACAGCCATTTTTAAAGTTTTGGATAGAGTAGGGAGGGTTTATAACCCCTGCAAGATTATGTTTTTGCTGTCTGTGTACCGTTGTGGAAATTTCCATTTGCTTTCTGTTCCAAAGGCGCAACAGGAAGTTGCACAAAGGGGAAATTTCCCCTTGCCTTTTGCTCTGAAGACAGCTCTAAAATGTTGGATTTCTTGATAACAATGGTCACCAGTCCAAATAGTGGACACCACAGTGGGGACACAGACAGCAGTTAAAATATGACAGATGGTCTAACGCTTTTCCCCCCTTGCCTAGCCCCCTTTGTCCTTCTGTTTATAAACTGGGCCGAACAATTGAATTGTGTGCCTCCTACTGGTTTCTACTGGTTGTTTAAACTGCGCATGTACACAGTGCGTGCTCTCCTTCTGCTGAGCTCAGATGAGGGGGATTGAGGGCCTGTGGTTGTTGTGGAGAGTCCCCCCCCCCCCCCCCCCCAACAAACTGCAAACAATAGGATGGTCCGAACATTTTGAATTGTTCTCCTCCTAGCAGCCACTTCTGGCTGTTCAAAACTGTCTGTGTGCCCATTGCACTCTTCCCTGCTCCATCCAAGCTCTGTAGTTGCTGCTTTTGGTCTGTTCAAACTTGGTGTGGGCGTAGTGTGCGCTCTCCTCTTGTTGAGCTCAGCTGAAGATCGAGAGGCCATTATTTTTTTTTTTTTTTTTCCAGAGAGTTCCCCCCCCCCCCCCCCCCCAGGTGCACTGGTATGTACTAGTCATAAGACTTGTAATTGCATAGGGGGATTTTGGTAAAAATGCGAAAAAAGGCGAACTTGTGCTTTAAAAAATAAATAGAATTTTTTTTTTTCTTTTCCCTGTTGGGGAGACTTCCCTTCACTTCCTGTGTGTAGTCCCTTGTACAGAAGTAAGCAGAAATAAACAGCAGTAAAAGCACTTCCTTAGTGAGTGTAGTAGAAGAGGGATTGTTATTATAATGCCTGTCAGATATTTATTAATCACAGAGAAGAAGCATGAAGTGTCACCCCATTTGTAGCGAGTCCAAAACCTAATATTGTACATTCACATCAGTCCCTAACCCTCAAGGGGCGTACAATCTAAGGTCCCTAACTCACATTCATACATACACATACTAGGGACAATTTAGACAGGAGCCAATTAACCTACCAGCATGTCTTTGGAGTGTGGGAGGAAACCAGAGTACCCACTGGAAACCGGTGCAGGCACAGGGAGAACATGCAAACTCCAGGCAGGTGGTGCCGTGGTTGGGATTCGAACCGACGACCCTAGTACTGCCAGGCGGAAGTGCTAACCACTGTGCTGCCCATAAAACCTTTATCCCAAAAGAAAGAAAATGGTTTGCTGTAACTGCTTATAAAGTATTAGCTGGAGTTTGGCTTCAGTTTGTTAGTGTATCTAAATCTGCTAGTACAGCTAATTGCTCCCCCCAGAAGTACAATGCTGGTGCCCCCTGTGCTCCTTCATTCAAAGTGGGGCACTCTAATATAAGAGGTGTGTTTACTGGCTAGATCACCAGGTGCAAACAGAGGAGGGAGCCTAAAAAGAAAACTAATGCAGCCACCACATCTGATGATTGGTAAGCTGCAATACATGGCATTTGTGGTTTGGGGTTTCACAAAGCTTTAGTTGATAATATTGGTAAAATGTGAGGTTCAGGGGTCTTCTGAGCACAACCTGTGAGACCACAGTGGAAAATCATTGTTGCTTTATGAGTGTCTTAGTTCATTCTTTTTTACCAGAAACTGACACAAATTAACCATTTTTTGTTCACAGGTTTAGGAGCCAAACTGAAAGCATGGGCTGGGAATTGTGTGCTCTCCACGTGCATTCTTTTGTCAGACAGGAATTCTATTGTGTAACCTGGGGGGCAGGCTCCAGCCTTTGTCTCCTGCTGTGTTGTCCCTTTAAGGCTTTTGAAAAAAACAAGAAGGGAGGGAGTGAGTCAGCAGAGGAGGATAGGTCTGTGTGTGTCATATTCAGCCCTCTTCCTGCAAATCACATGAGATTGTGTCTGATCCTGCACCATGTACAGCCGGCTTGTTCTCCTACTTCTCGCCCTGGTCTCCTGGGTCCACGCTGAGCTCTACTACAAGCCGGGGCAGCACTGCTACAAGCCTGTAGCCAGAGGGGACTTTGGACAGAGGTGAGTACCATTAATTTATGTTCTTATAACTGATCAATATTCCTTTGTGTATTGATGATTGGCAGCTTGTGCAACACTGCAAAGTGAACAGCAGGAGGTACAATGCTTCTAACCCACCAACTGTGTTGTCTCTCTTCATTTTGTAAAGCGCTATATACATTCTTTATAATAGTGATTTCTCAGTGAAAAGCTGGTATCAGATATACCCGATGTCTGTCATGTCCCTGCACGTTGTCCCCTCTCGTATATTGTGAGGGTGAAACCTGCCACCTAAAGGGGCGCCGTTTACCCCAAACTTAGAGCTAAATTCGATGTAGAAATGAAAGAGTTAATGCTGAGAATATCCAAAACTACTCTTGTAGTGGGTCATCTGCTGACTGCACCACAGGGGTTAAATGTTGAGGGGTTAAATGTTGTTTTTCTCTAAGGTATTGTTAAAAAGCAAAAAATACGCAGGCTTTTTTCCTTCGTGCAACTGGTCCCCCCCAAAGCCAGGTCTTTGCGGTGCTCCGTTGGTCACCGGTGCTCTGACGTCATCACGTACAGGACAGGACCAGCTGTCTTGCATTGTAAGTGAGGACGCCAAGGATGCACTGACAACTCGGAGCACTAAAGTGGTTGTAAAGCCTTGAGGTTATTTATTTATTAGTTTGTGTTTTTTAAGTTCACAATTCAGGACTGCTGCAAGTGATTATTGGAACTATTTGATACATCCACAAGCGCATTAGCACATCTTTTATTCACTAAAGCTTTGAGGTTGTTAACCTTAATGCATTTTAAGGTAAAACAACCCTACTGTGCATGGGTTCCCCTCAATTCCCCCCCCTTACCCCCCATTGCCACCCCTTATACCCTGCTACATACCTGAGCCCCATTGTGATCCAGTGCTGTGCATGAGAACAGCGGCTCTCCCAATTCTGTCCCTGCTTACGTACCTGAGCCCCATCGTGATCCAGCGCTGTGCATGAGAGCTGCGGCTCTCCCAACTCTGTCCCCTGCTTACATACCTGAGCCCCATCGTGATCCAGCACTGTGCATGAGAGTGAGCCCCATCGTGACCCAGCGCTGTGCATGAGAGCAGCGGCTCTCCCAACTCTGTCCCTGCTTACGTACCTGAGCCCCATCGTGATCCAGCGCTCTGCACGAGAGCAGCGGCTCCCAACTCTGTCCCTGCTTACTGGGCCAAAACAATAGCAGCGGGAGCCATTGGCTTCCATTGCTGTCAATCAACCTCTGTGATCAGGACGCGGGGGACAGGGCAGTGTCCCACTATATGTGTCTATGGATGCAGGCAGAGGGTCTCAAGAGCAAGCCCACATGAGTACCCCCCATAGGAAGCGGCTTCCCTATGGTGACACTGCATGGAGAGAAGCCAGGAGTGACAGCAGGGGACCCATGTAGAGGGGGATCAGGGCTGCACTGTGCAATACTGTAAACAGAGCTTTAAGTCACTTTATTACTGGGGGGGGGGTTAAGGTGCATAAAACTGCTTTATAATGGTACCCTAGCCCAGAACCTGCATGGGTAACTGAATGTTTCTTCTGAGTTCATTTTTTTTATCCTTCCAAAGTCTCATATCTCTGGAACTCTGGTAGCGGAACCTCCAGCTCCTTGTATCTGTGTTGGTCAGCACAAAGGGTCTTAGTCCCCATTTATAGATTTTCAAAAGGAGAGAAACACCTTAAGGTGAGTTTCAAAACTCCAAAAATAGAGTATTTACCGAGCTAGGAGCAGTAAGGGAGTGATGGTGGTGAGATGCTGCAGGAAATAAAACCAGCTTGCATGTGATTCAACCCGCTAGGCTCCTCCTATGACTGAAATATCATTCTTTAGCTGGAACACCTTGTTAAAGTGACACTGAACAGTATCCCTAGTCTCCAGAAATATTCCATATACAGCGGCTCTGTGTTTTCTTTTTTCATTAAATTGTTTCTTACCGTTTTTTTTTTTTTCTTTCTTTGGCCTCCTTGTAATGTCCTCTGTGAGCTTCTGAACCTCTCTTCCCCCCCCCCCCCCCCCCCCCCCCCTTTTATCTGTAATGAACAGTGCACATTAGTTGCAGTCATGTGCACTGCGTTTTTGCACAGTTCGCATCTCATATCCCATCTCGGGAGGGAGCAAGAGAGGGTGGCTACATTACTACACCTAGTGAGACCATGGAGAACAAATGTAGCCACCCTCTAACAGGAAGTCAGGTCACTACAGCTATAAAAAAAAAAAAAAAAAAAGAATTTGGAGGAGGCTGAGAGCGATAGAATACCTTTTTGAGCTAAGAATACATACTTGAGTAGAATTTTGTATAGCAGAGTTTGGTGTCACTTCAACTCCATGAAACATGGGGAATAGCCCATCTCAAGATCTGCAGAAAAGACGCAGCTAAAAGTCTGCAGAAACGTTTTGCAACAAACTGCTTTTTTTTTTTTTTTTTTATAATAGTGTTTTTGGGTAAAAGATTGTTTAGTCAAAGCCTCTGATTTATCATTATTCTGTACAGAAAGCTGGAAAGACACCATTGACCTTTGTTTTGAGGCTGATGTATAGAGCTTGCTGGAGCCTGTAGTTCTTCTAAACTCCCCACTGCAGCTCATGTAACTAAAGACAAAGTTATCCCCTCCTGTTTTTTTTTTTTTTTTTTTCTCCACAGTCATCGGAAAATGTTTGCCCTAGATAGAGTATTTGTACAAGGAAATACAATTGTGTAATTCCCCCACCCATTTCACTGTGTTTTTGGCACAGTAGTCTGCCTTTCAGGGTACTTGAAACCGGATTGGGAAATTCTGGCTGTGAGAGAACATCATGTGACACCCCAGACCAGCTGCTTCCTGAAAATCATCAACCATGTGGGACGAGTCCAATTGGGTGCCACAGTATGAAAATGGGAGTGACCACCTGAATTTTGAGTTTAGCATTAACAGTAACAGTCCAGACAGTCGAATTTTCTTTCTTGTCCATTGCTTAACACAAAACGTTCTTACTGGATTGGACATTGGCAAGCAAAAATAAATATCATAAAGTATAACTAAAGGCAAAACTTTTTTTATTTCTTTAGTTTTGAAAAGAGTGGCGATGGGTTAGAACACGTCAGGTTTGTATTGCTACATCTGCCCCCATTAGGGAGATTCACCCTCTTTATTTTTCCTGTTTAGGGTTATCATTCAAAGTGAATGTAAAGGAACATCCCACATTTTGGGTTGTCCCCATAACAATAATAGAGGGGAATTCTTCCAATGGGGACAATAGTTCTGGTGACCTAGGGGACCCCAATGGATTTCCCTTGTTTGTAGGGATTTTCTCTCACTTCCTGTTTTGGTTATGGGACAGGAAGTGAAAGTAAATCCCCCTGATGGGACATAGATGGCAAAAAGAAACTGTTAGGGGTTATAACCCTCCCTTATTTATTCAAAATGGGGAAAAAAAAGTTTTGCCTATAGTTCTACTTTGTCAGCTCTGGATAACTTCTACAAATGACTCGCATCAGTTTTTTGCAATGACCCTTGTGCAGTGAGCTCTGCGCAAGGTACTTTTCAGATGCCCCCAGAGCTCTTTCCAGGTCCTCAGCAGAGTGTGTTGCTGATCTGCTCGCAGTCATAGGGACAGCTGGCATCTCGGTAGTAGTGACTATCTAAGACTCTCCACTGTGTTAGTAGATCCCTTCCTGATCAAACACATGGAACAAATGACCTTATTATCAGGGATATCTCTGGAGGTCCATGTCAACCTGCCTCAGTGCAAGAAATCTATGGAAAGGATGGCAAAATCACCTTTCTTCTCAGTTATTCCCACAGTAGACACACACAGGACTTCCTAACCTTATACTCTGGCCACCCACAAGCTTGGGAGTAAAAAAGTTTGCCAAACTCTCGGGGAAGCCTTTATTGACACGAACATGCACCCCAACAAATGGGAGAATGGTCATTGATCCTTGAGGGCTGTTTGTTAATTTGTGCTTCAGGTTTTGTGTAGAGTGCCTTCTTGTGAACCTTTACAAATAACACTCTATTCAGCTCCTCACTATACCTCCCTGTTCTACCACTCAGGTTCACAATCCTCTGCTCCCTTGTGGTATCCTGGCTTGGAAAATCCTTATCCTAACTCCTATACCAGCTTGGCGTTAGGAACTGTGTCTCAACCTGTTCTAGACTATTCCTCACAGGGAAGATGCCAGAACAGGACATGTTAGTCCAGCAGTTTTACAGTGATCCAAACAGTCTACCATTCTTGTCCCTTTCCAGAGGGATGCTCAGACCCAGCTAGAACATCCACAGGTAGTTCACTATCCCTTTTAGGGCTTTTAATCTCCATCCCCACCACAGCATCTCAAGATTGCTGGTCCCAGAGTGTTGTCCCAATGCCTTTTCATGGCATCCACATTGTGGGATACTCAAAAGGCCTCCTGTGGAGTTCAGTCAATGTGAGTTCTAGTGACCAATGTTTTCCTGACAGTCAGAACCTCTCCAGTGTCTGACTGGACCTAGTATTGTCATATGATGTGGGCCTCTTGTCCTTGACCGCAGATTGTTTATACCCACTTGGTTCTGTGGTAGAAGCATCTACAGCTTCCACACCCTCATGTCCTTGCCCTTTGGCGAAGGGGTTACCTGATTCTCAGTTGTTGCAGAAGGGTCATGGGGTAATTCTTCGCCAAGGCACTTCTCCTACCCTGGTCCATTCTCAGAATACATCAGATCCTTCTTCTGCTGTTCCTGTTCCTGGAGAGCTGGTTCATTCTACTTTGCAGGATCATTCCCTAAGCTGGGAATGGTATGTCCTCTCTGGATACAGATACCATTAGATTTCAGCACAGAGCTGGCTTTTCCCTACCAATGAGGAGGAACAGGAGATGTGGTTGTGACAAGGAAGGTAACCTGAGTCCTGACTTGAATAGTACCTTGTATTCCAATCCTGACTGCTCTGCCCTTGTCAAATGTGGTCTTTGGAAGTTCAGTTCATAACAACTGTCTACTTTTGGATATGGGGGAGTGGTCCAGGTTACAATGTGCCTTTCTGATCCTGTGTTGCTGCTGGAGGATTTTGAGAGTAAGCTCTGGTACCTTGAGCCATCTGGGTGCTGAACAAGCTAATTTCCTGGTGTAGGATCCTCTGGCAACAGCAGGGAATGGTCCATAAACTCAGTGGGATCTCACTCTGGGATCTAGGTCCTTTCTCCCTTGTTTTCATTGCAGACTTGAGAGGTGAAACTTTTTGTTGATTTTTCTTGCTTTGATTCTTCTTGGGTGAGTGTTCTTTGGCATCCAGTTAGATCTCCTGACTGTTGTTCTATGGACCCTGATGCATGGTTTGATCTGGGTAGTCAGAAGCAGTAGCATTTGTTTACATAAAATAAGAAACTGTAAATGAGAATGTGATCTCCCTGTAAATGGAGCAGCTGATGGGGGTAGCCAGGGTCAATCATGGTACCAAAGAGAACCCCAGGAGGGTATTCAATTCTTGAGCATACACCAAAAGTGGTACACTTTATAGGCGCACTTACCTTTTTTAATGTTACCTATGTTTTAAATCTATAATCATTTTTTAGGACATACCCGAGGCCCCATGAATACCTCCCTATAAATAGCCTGCCAAAGGCTTGGGACTGGCGTAATGTCAACGGCAACAACTATGTCAGCACTACAAGAAACCAGCACATCCCTCAGTACTGCGGATCATGTTGGGCACATGGGAGTACCAGTGCCATGGCAGGTGGTTCCACTCCTCTTTCATTCAGCAGGGGGCAGTGTACCATACTAAGAAAAAGTCTATGCATACACTTTAGGAAAGCCTCAGGGACAGGAGGAGGGTGAGTGGTGCACAGGGGAATATTTAATTAGACCTGGTAATGCTAACCATATTGAATATGTTCTGAGGAGAATAAAATTCTTCACTAGAAAATTTGTAAGATTAGTGACTTGTTTGTCCAAAATACATGTTTGGAAAAGGAGGAGACCTTCACACAGGGAAATGGCCCTTGTATGCAGTGCTGACACCCACTGAGTGCCTCCTGACCCATCTCTCCAAACATTGCCTGAAACATCTCTACCATTGTAGGCCTGCTGATGTTCAACATTCCCTCATTGAAAGCCTCAGACAGCTGTAAAAATCGATGAGAAAAAAAATGAATTTTGAAAAATATTCCAGATTAGTATTAACACAACACAATAAAATGAGATGCAACTACTTTCTGCTCTTAATATTTGACTCTAACATGACTGTTTATGACCCTCCCTACAGATCGGATAAACATCAAGAGGAAAGGGGCATGGCCATCTGCATACCTGTCTGTACAGAATGTGATTGACTGCGGCGAGGCAGGGTCTTGTGAGGGTGGAGACCATGGAGGAGTCTGGCAATATGCAAATACCAATGGTATCCCCGATGAAACCTGCAACAATTACCAGGCCAAGGACCAGGGTAAGAGAAGGAGGACATCAATAGGGAATGGGTTGGACAACAATAGGCCAGTTTTAGTTGCCACAGAGCAGCCATGTTCCAAGTCCGCAGCATAAAAAAACTAGGTGAAATCCGAGTTGGCTGCTTTGTGTTATACAAAATGAAACAAATCTTCCTTTGCTGGGATAAATGGGGCCAAGTGAGCTTTATTTACAAGGATATGATCAATATTATTTGAAACTTAAGTGTTTGTGGACAGTGTTTTTTTTTAGAAAGGGTTCAGAAACATATGGTGAAGATGTTATAACAGTTCGGCTTTGCAGTTGCTGCCAGATGGATGTCACAAACATGGAGAATATTTGGTTAGATACAGATAACTTGTATGGCCATCTGCACTGCAACACACAGTATAAGCTCCAGTAATATGACCATGTTGGCCTATGATGTATTCCAAGATGGCAGTACGAGTATCCAAAGAACAAAGGTATACCGCTCAGGCAGACAATCCAGATCAATCCAAACAGATGCAGGCTCTGGCTCGCCACCACACATGATGCAATAGGAAGAAGGGTCAGCTGCACACCGGAGGATAGATGAATATAGTGTGTATTTATTGATCCATAGGACACACAAAACACCAGGACATGAAGACAGGACTTGTTAATGCATTTCATACGATCTCGTAACAACCAATGATTAAGCACGAGATTGTGTAAAATGCATTAACAGGTCCTGTATTCATGTCCTGGTGAACCAGCAAACACAAATGCTCCTGCGCTTGGGGATGGACTCGATGCAGGCTACAACCACATTAAGAATGTCCTGGAACATGCACACCTTGCTGCCCTCAAATGGACCGGGGGAATCCAAATATACTGAATGAGTTGTGTTTTACTCACAAATGACAATATAGTCAAGGCACATCATAAAAGAACAGCTGGGTCAACACCACGCTGAGTAACAGTCCGCAATGGGAGTGTAGACATCCAATAGGCTGATGCGTTTCGAGGACTTGCCTCTTCCTCAGAGCCCATGGCTTTATTCTCGTTTGTGAGTACAACACCTATTTTATTCTTATTAAACATTTTTTATGGTAATGCACTAGGCCTGTGCGCCTTTTTGTTCCTTCCTCATTCATGTCCTGGTGTTTTGTGTGTCCTATGGATCAATAAACACACACTATATTCATCTATCCTCCGTTGTGTGCGGCTGACCCTTCTTCCTACTGGCCGTACGAGTATGTTAGCTAGTGTCAAACACCGTATTCTATCTCCATATTTTTAAGGTTCCATGTGCATAACCCCATATACCTGTGTCTGCTGTGACGCTGTCTGTATAAGATCCATGTCACAGGAGTGATTTAGCAGCAGCCGCAGAATTGGTCCTTCCAGTCTTTGAGCTGAGTGAATGAAGAAGTGTTTGGAACTAAACACAGAAATGCTACTCAAGTTATCCAGCACAGCTGTAGGGTGACCAGACACCAGTCCTTTCCAGTTGAATAGGTTGGTGCTGTATCTACAACCACACAGCTTTGTAGCCGCTTCAACGTTTCTGGTGTGATAGGGCCCCAAAGGACACTTGAGGAAGGAAGTGCTTATGGAGGTTGCACAGTACATAGAGAGGATGTTTATTTCAAACCCCTAAGAGAATTTCCTGTACCTCCAAACAGGACATAGTAATGTGGAGAGGTGTATAATGGACAGAAAAAAATGTATTGATTATGTATAGACACTTTAATATACAAATGTTTGTCCTGAAATTACAGACTGCAACAAATTCAACCAGTGTGGTACCTGTGTGACGTTCGGGAAATGCTTCTTCCTCTCCAACTACACGCTGTGGAAGGTTGGAGATTACGGCTCTGTCAGTGGGAGGGAGAAGATGATGGCTGAGATCTACAAGAATGGACCAGTCAGGTAACCAGACTCCAGAAACCAAATGTGATATTGGTCACATGAAGGCCAGTCCACACAAACCTTTATTTCAGTAATGGGGGACTCTTGTCTCTTCTAGGGACATTGGGGTGGGGGTCTCTCTGCTGCACTTTTTTAGTGGTGTTCCCTGCTACAGAATCTCTCTACCCAGAAATAAAACACCAGTTTTGTGTGCAGGGACCCGATTCATGTCAAACCTTCAGTCATGTTTAAGTTTTAAAAAGCAATTATCCTCTTACCAGCCTATTGTGGTTTGTAATAAATGTGGGTTATTGCGAGCGCATGTATATAGAGTAAGCAGCCAGCATAAAAAGGTAAACCTCTACACCTCTAAAAGTAAATAAATATGACAAATATATGCAGCGCTAAAGGATGTAAATAATGATACAAAGATATAAAATCAATCATAAAAAATTGTGAGCGCTAATGGAGCGCATATATAGTGATGAGGTGATAAAAACCATCTTATGACGTATCAAAATGTAACGGAATCACAATAAGCAAACAATGGGACGGGAGTGAATTAGTTCATTTGAATAAACAAACATATAGCAGATCCAGGGAAAACAGTGATCGGTGTTCCGTGCTGGTGAGCTTCAGTGACGAGGACCAGTAAACTTATGCACTTACCAGAAGCACATAAATAGTGCGCATGTGTATGATATATCCTTTAAGGGGTCATCTGGGTCTAGGCAGGGGCTGCGGGGTCATCAGGCATAACGTGGATACACAGGATGGTACTGCTTACACACACTCTGTTCATATCACTTCCAAAGACAGCTCCAAGACATAAGCCAGTATATAGCTCCAGATACAGGGATTTTCACCTTAATGGGGCTCGTAAACGATGAGCCAAAGTCAGATGGATGCCAATAGTTTAGTTTTTTATTAAAATATAGGCAGAAATCCAGCAAAAAATGTTTAGGAAACTCACGTGATATATGGTATAAAAAGATGGCCGCTGGCCTTCCTCGTGGCCGTGTGCGGCGAGGTCACTCTGGTAGGCTCCTCGCTGACGCGTTTCGTGCACCAGCACGTTCTCAAAGGGATGAGCTTACCCAGAGGATGCAAGAACTTAAATAATGGCCCACGCATGCGCGCGCCGAAACGGGCCAATGCGCATGCGCGAGCAGGACGAGCCAGCAGGAGGGACACTACGTCGTCCTGCTCTCCGGGCGCAACGCAGAGTGCGTGCGCTAGAAGGACAAACTGCAAGGAAAGACGCTACGTCACCAGCTCTCCGGGTACTAATGGGACAGTCGCTGTGGGTAATGAGAATACGTCTTCCTTATCCATTGTGTATAAATGACCCCATCACTTCTGAAAGAAGGACTTTATCCTCCATACAAAATATCTGTAATATTTCTGCTCAGTGTCTTGTGATTCATACCGCATGTCTGCACGCTGTGACACCACTGTTCAGATCCCTCCGCTATTCTGCTTTCAGAAGGCAAGGAAACATTGGTGGCAGATTCCAGCTGCAGTTTCATCTGAGAATGTCTAGTTGTGATCTGATTTTCAGTTTTTTTCTCCAGCCATACATTATGTGCTCTGTGTATCAAACCATCAGCATAACCTGGCATGAAAAATGGATGTGCAGCTAATGTAATGGACACAGCTGTCAGTAGAGTCCAATTATTCACAACAATCAATGTTTAATCTTTCAGTGACCAGGCTACAGTAAAGGTATACATCTGATTGGGCGTATGGATTATTGCCAACACCAACCGCACTTCTGAATAATAATTGTGTTCCCATATTAAATCCCATTACTGTTGTATATAGTACTGTGGCCAATGGGCAGGTCTTCTTCTTTGGCTCATTGGAGTCACACTTGCTGTAATTAATATATATCACTGTGAACTGTTGTATGTAAAATAATTCATGTTTATATTTGTATTTTCTAGCTGTGGTATAATGGCTACAGAAAAAAATAGATGCCTACACTGGGGGCCTGTACGCTGAGTATCAGCCAAGTGCCATGGTGAATCACATAGTGTCTGTGGCCGGCTGGGGTGTGGATGAAAGCGGCGTGGAGTACTGGATTGTCCGCAACTCCTGGGGAGAACCTTGGGTAAGCCATCTCTTCTCTAGACTCAGAGGGGTTTATTATGGATAGAGCAGGAACCCTGTGCAAATGGAAAGATTTTGGCTGCTGTGCTAGTTGTCATGCTGACCTATTGGTTTCAACACTTTCAGAGACTCTCTCCTGGAACAATTATACAAAAAGTTCTTTAGATTTCACTTGTTGCATGTTTCTGTGTTGGAGAGTCAGAAGGTTTTGAAGTCAGCAATAGGAATATGTAGACTATATAGTATGTAAACCCAGGGCAAAATCTTCTGGAAGCTTTACTATGTCAATGTCATTTAAAAAGTCATTTTATCTTCAGCAGTTGATTAAATAACACCCAAAACTCCTGCCATTAAAATGGAACTTTTATTCAGAAAATTAAGTCCTGCTAGATCACTTTTAGGCTGGCCCCGTTTGCAGGTATAGCTATGTAAAACATTCAAAATAAGTGTCTATATCAGGGGATCTCCAAACTGAAGCCCACGGGCCGCATATGGCCCTTTGCTTGCTTTTATCTGGCCTTTAGGGCACTTTTCCTTCCACTGATATGAAGCACTATTCCTCCCACTGACACGAGCAACGGGGCACTGTTCTTCCCACTGACCACCAGGCCTAGGGTATTGTTTACTCCCACTGATGCCAGGGCATTTTGTACTCCCCCCTGGCCACAATCCAGCCCTTCTAAAGTTTGAAGGGCAGTAAATTGGCCCTTTGTCTCAAAAGTTTGGAAACCCCTGATCTTTACTGTTTAAAGTCCAGTAATGCACTGTCTCACCCTGCTCTGCACATGCTCAGAGGCCAATTTGCTGACAGCCTAAAGATTTACTGCTGTTCAGGGGCTCTGTGCTTCAGCAAATTTGCATCCTCCAGAAAGAACAAACAGGAACAATGCTGGAGGCAATTGACAGCGCACACTAATTGTGGTAGGATAACTATTAGGCTGCATGCACACTAGCAGTTTTTAATTTTTTTTTAATTTAAGCTCAAGAAACGCTGGTAATAGCGTTTTTTATTGGCGTTTGCTTTTTTTACAGTACATATGTGCATATAGGGGAAAAAAAAAAAAAAGCTATAAAAGGCTGTTGGGAGTATTTAGCGTAGTTTGTTTGTTTTTGTTTTTTTTTTTTTCTGCTGGTAAAACTCTTCAAAAACAAAATTTTTTTCTGCTCCTAGACACTGAAGCTCAAAAACCGCTAGTAGCCTACACTAGTGTGCATGGACACATAGGATAACACTGTTAAGCTTCTAACCACTTGTAGGAGCTTAAAAAAATGTCAGTGTGAACGGAGCCTTGATGTGGGATGTATGTTCCTTGCTGAAGAACAATATTGTTATGGGTAAAGTTCCACTTTAGGGACCCAATGAGACGGCTGCAACACAGAACATTGTCACCCTAAAACAGGAGCTGATCCAGAGTAGTGTTTGGAAAGGTTAGGCCACCTCCATGGGGTTTGAACTGCTGTCAGTGTCTCTGCTGGGAAGAGTCATCCTCTATATTCATTCTGAGGATTGTCACTATGACAAAGTAATAGAAGAGAAAGCTGCCGCTAGTCCTCTGTGTTGTGCCTCCAAGATAGGGTGTAACGTGAAATCTACCCAGTCGGCAACACGGTATAAAAAAAAAAAAAAGCTGACAGGAGCTGTAATCATACTCTACAACTTGAAGCATAACCTTTAACTAGAGGTCGTTTTACAGCTGTGTTTCTTACCCTTATATGACTGTTGCATTTAAAAAAAAAAAAAATTTGCGATATTTCAGAATCATTATGTTGGTGTCATGTTACACAGGATAAATGATAGAATAAATTTCATTTTTCTTTTTACAGTAACACTGATCCATGTAAAAACTTTGAGAGAAACAAAAATTGGGTATATTGTTGAATAATTGTGTATATGTGTAATTTATATATTTATTTCATACACTGTATTTTTAATGATAGCTGCTTCAATCTCCAAGAAGTTCTGATACCCTGAAAGATCAAAGGTAATTGTAGGTATAAGGATTTACTAGTGTGCTCACCTATTACAATGTATTGGATCATCTGATGTAACAAGTTGGAGTAAATGCAATGTTGCAAATCTGAAAATGAGTTTCCCTTTCAGCCCTGGATCAGACTCTGAAATTTATGCGATTTCACTTGAAGTTGCATGATTTCAATGTTCGTCAGTGTGACTTGGAAGACATCTGTGTGACTTCACACACAGATGTCTACATAAGTCGCACCTGAAACCGAAAAAAAAAAAAGTAGTGCAGGAACTACTTTCTAAACAGTTTCATTGTGGACAATAGGGTATGATTTGTCATTTTTTATTTGAAACTGTCAAAGAGCATGAAAAGCCACACTGGTTACCCAGGGCTCAATGTTTGATTGTGCTGGTTCTAGACTGTAGATACCAGCAGACCAATGTTGCAGGGCGGAACAGCAGTGTTTACCGGTCGGTGACAGAACGATCAGTTAATCGTGTAAATTGCTCCAGTGTGGATTTCCTGTTGGCTGTGGTTGGAGTTTCATGCTCAGTATGGGCTGGCAAGGAGTAACACGAGTTTATTTATTAAACCTGGAGATTGCAAAATCTGGTGCAGCTCTGCATGGTAGCCAATCAGCTTCCAGGATTTTTTTTTTTTTTTTTTTTCTTTTGTGTCAAAGCTTAAGGCCCCTTTCAGACAGGGCAGATCCACTGAAGGGGATCTCAACACTGATCCCTGCTGAGCATGCAGATGACAGGTCCACCTCCAGTGGTCAAACCATTAGACATGCTCCTCCCTTCCCTTTGGAACATGCACCATACCTGCATGAATTGATATGTGCCTTTTGAATCCTTAATTCAATCTCCACCTTCACCTCTTAATGGAGCATGTTTATTGGTTTGAAGTGTACAGTGCACCATCCACCTCCAATGTTCAATCAGGAGTTTGGGATGTATTGATGGAGAGCTATATAGATTACATGCACAGAATTTACTCTTGGGGGTAAGAGTAGTCATTGTGGATAGTGGTTGATGTTAATCATGGAGTGGTCTCTGCATTGTGAACATGTTTTTGGTTTGGTGTAGTGGGCACACGGGTGTATCACGTTGAGTTCATCAGAACTTACTACGCTATATTAGTTTTGTTTTGATTTTTGGGAGAGTTGGAGCAGTGCAGTCGATGGAAAAAGATTGAATAGTGTACAACACATGCTTCATTGGAAGGATGTGGGGAGAGCATATGAAGATCTTTGTGCTAATTGAAGGGTAAACTGCACTGATTTGTGAATACAGGACTGTTTGTTTTGCCCAGAGGGGGCAATTTTATTTCCAGCTGCACATTGATGTGACTTTTTGGAATTAGTGGCAATTAGAAGATTTTATAAATTAATGATACTGAAACATCACATTGCATGGGTGATAGCACCCATGTGATGTGATTCAGGTGTGGATTAAAAAAAAGAAAAAGGGTCCTGCACCTTTTTTGGTGTGGGCGTGATGTGATTTGAGCCCTAAAAAATGTATGGCTCAATTAGCACCACATCGACATTTGTATGTAATTTCTGTGTGAATTACATGCGGTGCCCCGCCCCACATAGTGTGAACCAAGGCATAAAGGAAAATACAGCATTTTCTGATTTGCAACATTGTAGTTACTTTAGAGCAGGGGTCTCCAAACTGGCCCGAGGGCCGAATGTGGCCCTTGGGGCACTATTCCTCCAACTGACACCAAGGGGCAATAATGCCTGCACCACTATCACCAGAGTGACACTATTCCTTCCACTGATGGGGCACTGTGCCCCTCTCTGCTACCAACAATGGGGTACTAATATTTCCCCTAATACCAGAGATGGGACTTTTTTTTTTTTTTTTTAAACTCCCATTGGCCACATTACAGCCCCTGTAAAGTCCTTGTTCTGGTAAAGTGAACACTCTGTCCCTGTCTCCAGGTTATTGCACTACATTATCACCTTGTCTGCTGTCACAACAGATTCCAATGTAGACTACAAGGGGAATAGGAAGAAGGGTCAGCTGTACACCGCAGGATGGATGAATATAGTGTGTGTTTTTGATCCATAGGACACACAAAACACCAGGACATGAATACAGGACCTGATAACGCGTTTCCCATGATCTTGTGCTTAATCATAACAACCAATGATTAAGTATGAGATCGCGTGAAAAGCATTAAGTCCTGCATTCATGTCCTGGTGTTTTGTGTGTCCTATGGATTAATAAATACACACTATATTCATCTATCCTCGGTGTACAGCTGCCCCTTCTTGGTATTGCATCGTGTGTGGTGGTGAGCCAGAGCCTGCACCTGTTATAGATTGATCTGGATTGTTTGCCTGACCGGTATACCTTTGTTCTTTAGACTACAAGTGGGCCACTTCCACACCTATTCCACAGACATGGTACACTGTCACCAGCAGGGAACCCAACCTTCAAAATGCCATGCAGCCATCACTGGGGGTGCTTATAGAGAGGAGGGGGCTACAAGGAGATTGCAGGATAACAGCAGCATTGAGACAACAAAGGGTTCAGAAACATAAAGGCATTTGTTTATGGTGCTTTTGCAACCAATGTTATTTAGTAAGGGCCCATTCACACCAGTGCAGTGGGATGCATTTTTGACTGCAGTCCAAAATCCAGGTTATCCAATGGCCAACATTCACACTATTACAGTGCAGTAAAAAGAAAAAAGTTGCAGCAAGCTGCATTTTTTTTTCTGCACTGTGAATGAATGTAAAAAACATGCGTCAAATGTGCATCACTGCAGATGCACAAGCAAGCCGTAATGTGCAGTTTCTGGTGTGATGGGGCCCTAAGTTTTTATATCTACCTGAAAATGAAAATTATTTCTAGAATGTACAATTCTAATTGTCTTTAGTAAAGCACTGAAAGTAAAAACCTGAATGGTTACAAAAAAAAGCAGTACAAGTCACACTCTGCGCTGCAGATTCATGTCCTGCACAAAACTTAAAATTCCAGTCAGTTCTGCGTAGATAAAAATGATTGTTCACTGCGGCATTTCTACATTGTGTTTTAGTAGAGCCTATTCTCAGCTGTATATAAAAGTCGCGCAGCATTCTGGGTGCTCTGACCTGGACTTGTAAAATAATACTTTGGATGAGTGGACTGAACGTTTGAATGCTGGTTATAAATTGACTAAGTTTAGCTAGTTCTCTCTAATCGGTTTTATTATTTTTTTTTTTGCAGGGGGAGAGGGGCTGGTTACGTATTGTAACAAGCACATATAAAGGAGGACAGGGAGCAGATTACAACCTGGCCATTGAGGACGACTGTGCCTACGGTGATGTCATCCTGCCATAATGAAAGACGCAGAATCACGGGACCAGGACAAAGCTGCTATACATCGTAACCTTCGGCACTGGACATGATCAAAGCTATGCAGACATATCATCACACAAGCTGCTACCAGCAAGTCTTAGATGCATTCATAGGACGGGACAGTAGAGACAACAGTGGTACCATCTACTTGTCACCTGGAAGCCAAGGCTCCACACCAGTACAAATCTGTCAGAGACGCTATGCACAATGCTGAGGAGGGCTGGAAATTCTAGTAGAACCATCATTGGGCTTTTATTGCTGCAACTCCATTAGTGACATTTCCTGGTATTTTTTGTGCCGGTGTAAAGACATCTAAATGGGGTACAGCAACAAAAACCTGACAGCCATTCTAAATCCAGCCTTCCTTGCTCTTACTAGCTGACAATCCTACAGCTGTGATTTTAAATGCAATATCTTTCTTGTGCAATACATTCTGCATATGTGCCACTATTAGATAGAAAATGATTTTTAATAGCTTTTTATTTTGTTTTTTTATTCTACAACATGGTAATGCAAAATTGTTGACTAAATGAGAAGTTAAAGCGTCAAAGAGAATTACTGTCTGAGATGATTCTTTATAATAAAGATTTGATAAGAATGTATTGGGTTCTGTTGATCAAAAAGTGTCTAAATCTACTTCTTATAGTTCTGAGGAATACTAGACTCCAGCAAAGGGAGAGCTTCCCAATGGCAGCCTATGTAGACTCTACCAGCTTACCTTACATTGTAATACCAGCCACAGGTTATAGTCATGGCTACAGTGATGAAGGTTTTACTGCTATTCCACAGAACTGGTCACCAGGACAGGAAGTGAGGGGAAATCTGCATATTGGGGACCCAGATAGCAGTAAAATCTGACAGATTCTAATCCTCCATCACTGTATTACAAAAAAAAAAAAAAAAAAAATAAATGACTGGAGTTACACCTCAAAACTGCTTTATGGATCACATAAAAAAAAGCACAAAATACAATCGTATACATCTTACACATGGGGTTTCTGTGTAGGTCCAGGACCTAAGCTGACCACACATGGCTTAAATTTAATCTGGTTCCTACTGAGTTGGCCAAAATTTGAGCCCTAACTGGCTCTGTTGCATCACCTTCTCAGCAAGTCAATTTAAATATTGAAGCACCTGGATGGAAAATTAATCAAACAGAGACTGCATCCTATGACATGCAGCCACTGTTTGGGTATTGTGACAACTGTGGCTGTCTGATTACAGTGACCGGCGGTAGGGGGGGGGGGGGGGGGGGAAATAGTGAAAACAAAACGTTTTATGGCTAACATTACCAATCGCACTTTAAATCTAATTTAGTGACATCAGCTGTGATCTGGAGGTGCTGAGACTGAACAGTCAGTACATCAATACCTCAGCCCACAGCTTATGCCCTGGTTACAACAGGCATCATAAGGGAAGGTGCTACCATTGAGCACTGTAGATACACCATCACAGCTCCACTGGGAGAGCATTCAAACCTATGCAGCTGTAAGCAGTTAAGGCCCTAAATCTGTATCAGTATAAGCTGTCTGTAAACAATACAACGTGATAACTACTTTGTACATGTTAAAGTGTTACTAAACCCAGGACCCCGCCTTCGCCATAGCCGCTCTCCCCGGACCCCGCCTTCGCCATAGCCGCTCTCCCCGGACCCCGCCTTCGCCATAGCCGCTCTCCCCGGACCCCGCCTTCGCCATAGCCGCTCTCCCCCCGGACCCCGCCTTCGCCATAGCCGCTCTCCCCGGACCCCGCCTTCGCCATAGCCGCTCTCCCCGGACCCCGCCTTCGCCATAGCCGCTCTCCCCGGACCCCGCCTTCGCCATAGCCGCTCTCCCCGGACCCCGCCTTCGCCATAGCCGCTCTCCCCGGACCCTGCATTTACCAATGCAATTATTTTAGTAAATATAAACGGCTAAATACCTTTTTACACACATGCAGATGATTAACCCCTTAGGTTCCACAGTGAGTATAACAAGCACGCTTTACTGCATATACAGACTGATTGTACTGTTGTGGGTTTAGTAACACTTTATCACCTTTCCATACAGTGAAGAGTATTTCTCACACCTTTGTCAGTTCTAAAACATAAAAAGGAAAATTAAAATAACATTGCTATTTCTGTAATCTACGTTTTACAATTGATATGTTAAAAAGCAAGACGCTACACAAAGCTCATGGCTATAAGAGATTTCATGTGTTCACAGTCTCACACACACACACAGTGCACAGCAATAGGTGATAGCGTGTTTTCACATCCCTAGTTATACCAGCTGCTCTGCTTGTGTATTAAATGAACACAGACCTGGTTTTAAAATAAGAATGTGTATTTGTTAAAAAAAAAAAAAAAAAAATTCACAAATAGAACCAAAACAATTTCTATATACATACACACACATTTTCTCCTAGGAGAGAAAAAGGATTGTTCTCACAGAAGTCCAGGGCTCAGTCTACCCAGCACAGCCCGATCAGTTCACCATGATGAATTTGGATTTGCAGTGAACTAAATAACAAAAAATGTAAATAAATAGCAGGATTCAGACATAAACATCCATATCACAATGACAAATGACCCCTAGCAGCAACACACCATGTCTAGCACTAGGTTCCTAATCCTTCGCTTAGGTGTACAACTTATCATGCCTTTCTCATTTCTTTTTAGTCCATAGTACAGTCCATTAATTCCCCTCCCAGGTTTTAGATGTATAATTTGCATTCCAACCAATCCCAACATCTGTCCTCCAAAATGGCCACAGAAGCAGCAGACACCTCCTGTTCATAGCTAACATCTTTGCATTTGCTCTGGTGGTGGTAGCTATCTCTATGCTGTGCTTATTGTCAAATAAAAACAACAACAACCATCTTCTAGGGCAGCGGTTCTCAACCTGGGGGTCGAACGACCATTTCCCAGGGGTCGCCTAAGACCATCGGAAAACACATATTCCGATGGTCTTAGGAACCGAGACGCCGCTCCTCTGACTCAGTCGATGTGTGGGCGGGATGACACGCTGCCCTGTCACCTGGCCACACCTCCAGGATCCCTCAACAACTCCTCCTCCTCGCCGCTGATTGGCCACCGGAACTGTAGCTCAGGAGAGGCACACAGGCGGCCAATCACCGGCGAGGAGGTGGAGCTTGGAGAGGAGGAGCCGAGCGGCAGCGCGCGTAGATCTAAGAAGATCGAGGGAACTGCCGGAGTAAGTGAAGAGGAGAGCGGCCAGAGAAGGAAGACAGCTGACAGGTAAGTGAGAGAGCGAGCCCAGGCTGGAGCAGGGGTCAGCAAGGTAAGTATCATTGGTGTCAGTGGGAGGAATAGTGCCCCATCATTGTGTGACTAATACCAACAATGGGGCACTATTTCTCCCACTGACACCAATGATGGGGCACTATTTTCCTTCCTCCCCCCCCCCGCACTGACACCAATGATGGGGCACTATTCCTCCCCCCCACTGACAGGAACGATGGGGCACTATTCCTCCCCCCCACCGACACCAACGCTGGGGCACTATTCCTCCCCCCCACCGACACCAACGATGGGGCACTATTCCTCCCCCCAGGCTGGAGCGATGGGGCACTATTCCCCCCCCGACCCCAAAGATGGTAAGGCATCTATTTCCCCCTCCACCACACTGACATCAATGGGGGACTATTCCTCCCAGTGCCACTATTCCTCCCACTGACACCAATGATGGGACTAATTCCCCAACAATGGGGCACTATTTCTCCCCCCCACTGACACCAACGATGGGGCACTACCCCCCAATGATGGGGCACTATTCCCCCCCACCAACGATGGGGGCACTATTCCCCCACTGACTGACACCAATGATGGGGCACTATTGGGGCACCCCCCACCGACACCAACGATGGGGCACTATTCCTCCCCCCCACTGACACCAACGATGGGGCACTATCCCCCCCCACTGACACCAACGATGGGGCACTATTCCCCCCCCCACCCCCCACTGACACCAACGATGGGGCACTATTCCCCCCCCACTGACACCAACGATGGGGCACTATCCCCCCCACTGACACCAACGATGGGGCACTATCCCCCCCACTGACACCAACGATGGGGCACCAACGATGGGGCACTATCCCCCCCACTGACACCAACGATGGGGCACTATCCCCCCCACTGACACCAACGATGGGGCACTATTCCCCCCACTGACACCAACGATGGGGCACTATCCCCCCCACCGACACCAACGATGGGGCACTATTCCCCCCTGACACCAACGATGGGGCACTATCCCCCCCACCCAACGATGGCACTATCCCCCCCACTGACACCAACGATGGGGCACTATTCCTCCCCACTGACATCAGTGATGGGGCACTACTGACCCAACGATTCACATCTGACACCAATGACGGGGCACTATTCTCCCACTGACTCAGCAAAATTACAGTTATGAAGTACTGCAACGTTAAAAGTAGCAACGAAAATTTTTATGGTTGGGGGTCACCACAACATGAGGAACTGTATTAAGGGGTCGCGGCATTAGGAAGGTTGAGAACCACTGTTCTAGGGGGACAAAGAGACCATGGCTATCTACACAGTGGACCAGAGGTGTCCTTTAGGACACGTGGATTCCATGTCCTGCTTAATACTGTTGGCATGCAGGACATGTACCCACTGTGGTATACATCCCACATGCAGCACCTGTTATGATGAACATAGTTCTTTGGGTTCACTACTATACTAAAACTACTGCTATACAAAAAAAAAAAAAAACGGTGAAAATGGTAAGTCTAAGGCCCTCTTCACACTGGAACGCCTTTGTTTAGCTTTTCTAAATGCAGGGGAGGATAGAAGTAAAAACAATTTTATGCGTCCTTGAGCACTTTTTCCTGCATCTAAACGTGTGTACATGTGTTTAAAATTTCTATTCAGATCCTAGATGCACAGAATTCTCTGTTCTCCAAATGCAGGTAAATGACTAGCGTGAATGGCACCACTGAAAAATTGTGACATTTATGCGTTAATAAATGTCCTCCACGTGCTATAATCGCTAGTTTGACAACGTTGGTGTGAATGAGGGCTAATTCCACAGAGGGTTGCACTTGAAAATCCAGTATGTATATGCTGCTAGCAAATATCTACATGTGTATGTTATAAACGCTACATATAAAAACAACCAAACAGAACAATTTTTATTATCCTTTTAGAAGTTGCTCTCCCTGCCCTCAGCAACCCCACCAATTCTTACAATTATCTGCCCACACTTCACGTAGATCTTGTGCTGTGGGGCCAGGGTGGGGAAGACTGTCGAGGAACTTTCAAAAGAATGACTGAATTAAAAAGTACACTTATGCTTTCAGCGGACAAAAACTTTACCCTTTACAAATAAAAGCAGGACAAAATATGCAGATTCTTACCTATGAACTCTGTTACTGGATCGTGTTCTCCCTCTGCCTTGATAGTGCCGGCTATGCTTTCATTTTCTAGGATTGGGAGGAAAAGCTGTACAAAGTCTGAGGTGTAAGGGGGAGTAATGACATCTAGGACCTGCAGAGAGAGGAGGACACCATGACACAGATCTTCTGTGGGTTCCACAAGCCATCTAAGGTGCAGCAGCTTGATTTTGTCATTGCCAGCTGTCACATCGGCAGTAGATTGTACTGGGAAGCATGCCGATAGAGGAAGCCATGCGTGTTCCAATATTTGCAATAACAAATCTGAGAATCATTTACTACAATGAAGCCAAGTGAGGATGAGAACTCACAGATAATACTACACTGGGATGGCCAATTATCACTCACAAATGTGACCTTTTCTGTTAGACCTTCCTCCTCCCATCACTGCTGAGCTGTGGTTTGTTACAGACCCAGGGGTCTCCAAGATCAGGGAGGCCTTAGTGCAAGCTATGACCAGGAGGGGCTTAATGCAATTAAAACAGTATTTTTATATAAATGAGCCTATAAGATTTATCAGAAAGAGTTAAGGAATCAGTTCACTTTATTGTAACTCTTCTCTGCATAGTGAAGTGAACATAAAGCCCCGTGGAAGCTACAAGGTGTCGGAGTTGTAGCTCGCATACTGCTTATTGGACTCCCAATGTGAAAGCACTGATTGGACCAGTGCTGTCACATGCTCCAGTACTGGATATTTCTTTTTTTACCTGATGTTGAGGGGCAGTAGGTGGACAAAACAGAGGTGACTATAAGGTGGTATCAAAAAGACACAACAGATGGCAGCACAAGGCTGCATGAACAGTCACAGGGAGCACTGACCTTCATAAGTCAGTGTGCCAAAAGCCATTGTCCTGTGTACATCGGGAGCTGTGTAACTGGTGCTATTCTGACCACGCGTGTGTTACCACATCTATTTCATCATGCACAGCAAGTTAGAGCAAAGAGCAAAACGTGAAATTCTGCATGAAACCCTTACACCCAAGTTTCATCACCAGTAATGACCCTTGACCCAAGGACGGGTCATCCAGGGCACAATGGTGGAGTTCTTGACAGACTTTGACAAAGTGCTCCTTATGCTCCTGGGTCAGCAGACTAAGGGGAGAATTTGACAGCAACATGGTGCATGTTCAAATTACACGTGAGGATTGCCTAGACCAGCAGTCACTAAATGGCCAGAGCAGCACTCACACTCAGACCACCAGACTAGAACGACAGGTCCGCTTAGCAGGATGGATATCCCAGCAACCAATGACATCACGCATGTGCCCCACCCCTTGCAGCTTGCTGTCTTTCCCGGCTCCCGCTCCCTGCATGTCCACAAGCGCGCACCCTGCCCCCTTCAGAAAGGATCCAGGCAAGCTCCTGCCTCCCGCTCCTGTCTGCCCTCAAGGTAGGGGGGGTTCTTTCTGGGGGACCTTGATAGGCACATTTATATTAGGGGCACTATGATGGGCACATTTAATGCTAAGGGGCACAACATAAAATGTGCCCCTCAGCATGCTTATTTTATGTTAAGGGAGAAGATTTTAGTGACCGGACCTCCTTGAATTTTAATTCAATTCCCCGGCCTAGACTATTCAGTATGACACTACTTAAGAAAAAAAGAGCGAGAGGCAATAAAGAAACAATTATTTCTCATGGCAATGTAGAAAAAAAAAAACATTAAAAAAATCTCATAAAAAGTCACGGAAGACCATCTGGACCACCCTGGGGAACCTCCTAAGATGTTTTACATGTTTATTGTTTTTACATTAATAGTGAGTTGCCAGTTTGCACTACTTTAGTAAATGGATTTGTCTCAATACTGCACTTAGTCTGGGGCCCCTCTGTGTTTGCTTAATTCTGTATGGCACACCGACAACTACAGCAATGTTGTGGATTGTTCTCATCATTTTGGGTTTGCTCTTTGTTCTAACTCCTAGATTGTAAGCTCCCAGGATCAGGGCCCTCCTAACCCTCTTGTATTGAACTGCATTGTTGCTGTATTGTCTCCCGTTATATTGTAAAGCGCTGAGCAAACTGGCGCTATATAAATCCTGTATAATAATATAATAATAACTTGCTGTCCATGATGAAAAAGCAGATGTGGTAACGCACGCGGTCAGAAAAGCACCAGTTGCTCAGCTCCCGACGTATACAGGACGATGTCTTTTAGCACACTGACTTATGAAGGTCGGTGCTCCCTGTGACTGTGCGTGCAACCATGTGCTGCCATCTGTTGACGTGTTACAAAACTAGTTTGGAAACTTTTTTGATACCACCTCAAATCTTTCTCGGGAAGGAGGTTAAAGCAAACCTGTTACTTTGCTCCGAGTTGTTTCTATATTTATTATTACAGGTACTTATATAGTGTCAATGTACGCAGCACTTTACATATATATTGTACATTCGCATCAGTCCCTAACCTTCAAGGGGTGTACAATCTAAGGTCCCTAACTTACATTCATACATATACCTACTAGGGCCAATTTAGACAGGAGCCAATTAACCTACCAGCATGTCTTTGGAGTGTGGGAGGAAACAGGAGCACCCGGAGGAAACCCACGCAGGCACAGGGAGAACATGCAAACTCTATTAAAACCCTTCTCAAGAACATAGCTCTGTGGATAAGATAACACCATAGACACTGCAATTTGATTGAATTAAAACATTTTCCATTGTATCAGATCTTTGCGTTGAACAATCCCTGGGGTCTATTCTAATCATTCTGTATCAAGAATGTGCCCACCGATATATTGACCCCAAGATACAGCTAGATTTATGAAATTGCACTGTGTGGGGACCCTGGCACAACAGGGAACTAATGCTGCCTTTACCTAAAAAGGGTGGGTGACCCTCATCCTCAAACACATTGTATGAAAAAAAGAATGTGAAGGCGAGTGGAAGTACAAGGACTCACCTCTGTGACAAAGTATCGTATAAGTGAGATGTCGGTGTCCATCTTCTCCAGACATCTGCGCATGTAAGTGACCACTGGAAGTACATAACCTCGACTCAGCAGGTGGACCATCCTGTCCAGCAAAGTCTTCTTCAGCTCCAGCTAAGGATGCAACAGGACAAAAAGGCAAGATGGATTTTACAAATTGGTCTCCAGAAGACTTAACAGTTTGCTCTTTCAAAACTAAACATGTACTTTTGTTTACAGATCAGAGGTGCTTGTCAGAACCATTTGTAAGATCCGTACTATGTACACACATATGAGGAGGAGGATTTCAGTGTGTTGTGGAAGGACTACCCAGAAGGCCTTCTCTAAATTCATCTACAATAAAACCAATGTGCATCTGACATTTGCTGAAAAGGTGCGAGGCCTACAAACAAGATGGACCTTCACAGGGCACATGTGGACATTACAATGCTGCTTGGTGCAGCTGTACAGTACATGCAGACATTGCTAGAGCTGATGCACGCACAGGATTGCACAACCCTCTGGGTACCAGGAGGTGGGAGATGCTGATGGAAGGCAGTGCAGGCTAGAAAGTGAATGTTCCCCCCTCCAGCATCTTTTTCTGCATTCAGTGTTTATCCACTTTCCCACTGCCCTATAGCAGATATACTGCTACAGGGTGGCAGGGGTGCACAAAATCACGTATATATACTTGATTTTGCATTTCCAGGTAGGGGGCGCGCCTTGCCCGCGCTGCCATTCGGGACCATCAATCACCGGGTCGCAGCCAGTGATTACCGAGCATCTCCGACGGGGAGGACAACCGTTTTGTTTAGTAACAGTCCTCCTCCCTGTCAAAGAGTAGGGCCCTCTAACCTCTCGTGTGCTGTTTGTAGTTGCTGTACTGTTTCATGTATTGTCCCCCCCCCCCTCTATTGTACAGCGCTGAGCAAACCCTTTGGCGCTATATAAAAACTCGATGTAATAATAATAACAACAACTCGGGCACACTGCTCTGGATGGCTGTGCCCAGCACAGCCATCCAGAGCAGTGTGATTACAGTGAAGCACACAGACACCACCCCCACAGTAAAACACTCCCAGCACACAGTTACCCCTTTGATCGACCCTCATGTTAACCCCTTCCTGCCAAATGCCATTCGTACAGTGTCAGTGCTTTTTTTTTTTTTTTTTTAGCACTGATCACCGTATTGGTGTCACTGGGCATGTCAGTGACACCAAGTCAGTTCCCCCCAGTGTCAGAATGTCTGTCGCAGTCCCACTACAAGTCGCTGTTCGCCGCCATTACTAGTAAATATAAAAAAAAAAAAAAAAAAAATCACAGCATCTATACTGCCATTTGTAAATACTATAACTTTCACCAATACACCAATTAATTTACACGTACCGGGATTTTTTTTTTTTTTTTTTTTTGTAACAAAGACACGGAGCAGAATACATTTTGGCCTAAATTTATGTCGAAATTAGATTTTTTTATTTTTTTTACTAGACATGTTTAATAGCAAAATGTAAAAAATATAGTTTTTCTCAAAATTGTCAGCCTTTTTTTTTATAGCGCAAAAAAAAAAAAAAAAAAAAAAAACCACACAGGCAACCAAATGCCACCGATAGAAAGCTCAATTTGTGAGGAAAAAAAAAAAGAAGACAAATTTCATTTGGGTACAGCGTTGCCTGACTGCGCAATTGTCAGTTAAAGTAACGCAGAGCCATAACGCAAAAACTGGGCTGGTCAGGAAAGGGGGGTAAATCCTCAGGAGGGCGAGGGGTTATGTATGTCAAGAGAAGTGCTTGAAGGGAAGATTGGGAAAAGATTTTATCATAGAAAAAGTGGTTCTATAGTCTCGAGATTTTTACCATAATGCATTCTACGCATTAACCCCTTCACGCCAACGTAACACAAATATGCGGCCTCATGGGGCCGCATACTTGTATACTGGTCTTTGCGCTCCCAGCACAAAGACCGGGGTGTCACTGAGAGCCCCAGGTCCCGTTCTAATGATCGAGGCCCGGGACTCCTGATTCCGGGTCACATGATCGCTGTGATAGCCTCTGATTGGCTATCACAGTGATCAGTCATTGTGAAGCTCGCCCCCTTGTTTTTTTCCCCTCTCTGAATAGAGGAAAGAGATATAGTGATACATTTTATCTCTCCATATCCTTGCAGAGAGAGGGAAAAAAAAAAAAACTTTGGAAAAAAAAAAAAAAAAAAAAAATCCTTTACAGTTGCTTTCATTTTCACTTTAGCATTCAATGGTTCAGTGACTGGACAGATGTATGTACCCGGTCACCTACCTGCTCCATGACATCCAGCTGCGAGTGCTCTGTCTCAAAGAGTTTGATAAGAAGCTGCAGGACTTGCGGGTGTAACAGCTGGTGGCATGTGCTGATCTGCAAGAAGACAAACAATATAGAAATCATAAATCCTTAATATACGCAGTGTTTATATATACAGATTCCTCCTGTCACACAGTGAAGCAGCACTGCATACAGATATGTATTATCCAACAAAAGGATGCATTCCTAGTGCACGTGACAAAGCTGCAAAATCTGTTCACAACTACACATGAAAAGCCCCAAAGCATACCTCATCCAGCAAGGCCAGATGGACAGGGGTGTGATCTGTCTGTAGCTGGAAGTAGCGAGGTTCCGACACGGTCCAGTCCACCCACTTCAGAACACCCATCGCCACAACTGGGAACCTAGAGTGGTATAAAGGAAAATACATGACGTGTCTGTCCCCCACACTAGTGGCATCACTTTCTGCCATCCAAGCGAAGAAAAGACTCCTAGCCTGCATTTCACAACAATTCTTTCATCATCTTCTTATCCCAATACATACCTGATACACTGATACAGTGTGCTCAGCTCCGCCACCAGTTCTGAGGCCCCCTTGTTCTCATTGCAGCACAGATTGTGAACCGTCTCTATTGCTTTGGAGGTGGACTTCAGTTCATCCTTGTTTATATTCACCCTTTTGTTCTGCAGCATAATAGACAAGAAACAGAAATATCTGTATAATGACTTGCAATTCATATTTGCTTTTCTTCCCATCCCAAAGAACACAAGAGCAGACCTATCTAGCAGCTCCTTCATCTATGCTGTATAAAGAATACAGTTCAAAACAGTACTGTGTACCACGGGGCCCCATGCAGCCAACCTGACAGCCCCCCCCCCAGCCCCCCCCCCCAAAAAAAAACATAGTTTACTATGCTTCGTTTATGAATGAACACAGTGAGTGATCAGTACTCCTTTTCATCCAGGAAAAAAAGGGGCTGGTAAAATGTGACATTTACCTGACCCTTCCACCCCTCTCCATCCTGAAATATCCTATTGTGTGCTTGCAACTGCTGGTAGTAAGGAGGGGAGGCTAGCTGGCAGCTCTGCGGGGGGTGGGGGGAACACAGGGGGAAACATATGGTGCACAGGGAGGACGATGAGTGAGACGGGGGCAATTCCTGGAACCAATCCCCTGTATGGCTCTCCATATAGCAGCTGAAAGCCAGCAGGAGGGAGAGGAGAAGAAGCCAGCTTACAGCTGCTGCAGAGAGAGCCATACAGGGGGTCAGTTCCAGTAATTGCACCCCCACCGTGGCGATCACCTTCCCTGCCCACATCCTATTCACCCAGCTACCTGGGCCCCCGTGCTGGCCTGGGCCCTGTACAGGAGGACTGGTGGTACTCCCTTGTCCACGGCCCTGCTTTGTAGTGCTGGAGTAGAGAGCACTAATCCCCTTCGGGAATAACTGGTACTTGTAAACTGCCACTGTCATTACCTACAGATGCTTCTTTATCCAGCCACAGTCCTATCATTTCTGGGCACATTAGACCAAACAAAATACTAATATGAAGGCTTTTGCTCTCTAAGGCCCTAAAGAATTGCCAATGTAATACAAATGATGAAAGATAAATGCATTCAGAACTACTGATATGACGCACCTTCTTCCAGGTCTCCACCACACTGGCTGCATATGCCAGTATGTGGATGTACTTGTGTTTGTGGTCCTGGTTTATCTTGGCACCTGGTTTAAAAAGTGACTGCATGAAAAGGTCCAGGAAAGCGGGAACACGGATCTGCAAAAGAAAAATAAAGTAGGCTGCACTGTTCTGGAATAGCGGTTCTCAATATTATTTAGGTTTAAAACAGAAAATGTTCTGTTAATTCCCTCTTCATGCAGGTTGTACATCTCATGTGTTCCTAAAGCATGTGCTGTAAGGGACTGCTAAATGTGTTGCAAACCTTTATGATCATGCTTGCAGTCGGTTTATTTACTGACACATAAAAGGTCATTTATAGGATTTGTTTCAACAGTTATAGTTACATGAATGACTAAATGATGGAGTAGAAATGTACAGCTTGCTGGGAGGTCCCCAGAAAACGGGTGTATGACTATTCCGTCTAGAGATCTTGTTTATACCTTTTGAGCTGAAAGTGAATTGTAAAATACGTAGTTTTAGTTTGCCCATCCTAATTATTGCCTATAAACTGTATTGAGCAGCCAATCTGCTGCATGCAGGAATTTAAAGAGAGCACTCCTCAGCACCAGGAGTTTTAATCTGCTTTCCTGCACAGTAATACACAGTGATGAAAAGGATCCGGAGAGTTCAGAACAACACTAAGAGCAAGATCAGATCACATCATCCCATGTTTTGTAAAGACTAGAAAAAAAGAGAAGCACTTTTCAATGTACTTCATTATCAAAATATGTATTGCAGTTCTCCACACTTGTGTTCCCCCCCCCACTCCTCACCAGCTCCACAGGGGGGGCATCCATGCTTGTGAACATTTTGTACAGCACAGTGATGTCTGCAGGGTTCAAAGCTCCTTTGGACAACATAGCTCCCAGTGCTTGGCATGCTCGAGGATAGGAAGCTGCTGTACCCAGAGCAAGTGTGATCTGGCTGGCATCATGACCTCTGAAGGACAAAAACTACATGTAAAACATCAGGCACTGCAATAAATCTAATATAAACAGGTTTATTATAGCAAGACTCGAATCAGAATTTACTACGAACATTATGTCACATATTTACATACATTGTGGTTAGGCATCCTATTTATTTACACACTGTTGGTCAATGGGACACAATGGACTTTAAGTAGATATCTTTAAAGTGTTACTAAACCCCGGACCCTGCATTCACTATATCTGGTCTCCCCGGACCCTGCATTCACTATATCCGTTCTCCTCGGACCCTGAATTCACTATATCTAGTCTCCTCGGACCCTGCATTCACTATATCTGGTCTCCCCGGACCCTGCATTCACTATATCCGGTCTCCTCGGACCCTGCATTCACTATATCCGGTCTCCTCGGACCCCGCATTCACTATATCTGGTCTCCTCGGACCCTGCATTCACTATATCAGTTCTCCTCGGACCCTGCATTCACTATATCTGGTCTCCTCGGACCCCGCATTCACTATATCTGATCTCCCCGGACCCTGCATTCACTATATCCGATCTCCCCGGACCCTGCATTCACTATATCCGTTCTCCTCGGACCCTGCATTCACTATATCTGTTCTCCCCGGACCCTGCATTCACTATATCTGATCTCCCCAGACCCTGCATTCACTATATCTAGTCTTCCACAGTACACACAACATGGAAATGCAATTATTTTAGTAAATATAAACTGCTAAATATCTTTTCTCATTAGCAGTTAGAGCAGTCTTGTGACTTCTATCAGTGTCCAGCCCAGCAGTCACTAAAGCTTGTAGGAGTTTTCTTTCTGCTCTAGGAGGATGCAAAACCCCTGACCTCTGTCTGGACAGTGCCGATTGGCCCTATGCTGATCACATGCACTCTCCCAAGAAAAAAAAAACACCTCTCTAGCAATACACACCAAACTGAGCATCTGCAAAATGCCTACAGTTCAGTCTATCTTATCAGGAGATAAGACGTGGTCGCTTGAAAAAGGGGGAGGAACAGAGAAGAAAGGATCAAATAGCCTTTTTTACACAATGCAAAGGATTAACCCGTTAGTTTCCACAGTGAGTATAGCAAGGATACTTTACTGCATATACAGACTGATTGTACTGTTGTGGGTTTAGTAACACTTTAACTTATTGGCTACTAGCAGAAGTTACTAAGTACCTAGGTTTTGTACTTTCAAACAGTTCACAAAGATTCTCTCCGGATATAACTGCCCCTTGGGCAAAACCTATTTTATTCAAAGAATATTAGAGAGAATGGAATCAAATAGGAATAGCTATCTGTATGCTCTCATGCAGTTGTATCCTACGGTTCATGATATTCAATATCTTACTTTTCGTGAGCAAATCTTTGCACCTCTTGAGCGATCCTGCGCATGGCAGATCCCCCCTGTTCCTCCTGCGCCAATATGGACATGATTGCTTGGGCAAACAAATACGTGTGCTCTCCATGGCAGACCATTTTCTGAAAACAAAAAAACATAATATGAACTGTAGCTTGCCAGATGGAACAGAATTGGCAGAAAGCTCTGACAGGTAGGCACTAAACTGGGGCCCATGACTGCGATGGAAATTAGGAGAGAGTTAGAACTCTGAGAGGGGGAGGAGAACACTCAGCAAATTTGACAGCTGTCACTGAATGTGATGTTGATACACAAGATACCAAAGTGCAGAACAGAGTAATAAAATGAAATCCTTTTCAGCCTCCCTCCAATCCCATTTAGTATAAAAGGCTGGGAAGAGGCACAAGGCAAAAGACAACAGATGAGAAAGCGGTCTTCTCTTTACAATAATGAACACGCACATAAACAGACATTAGAACATCATAAAAAGAAAAGAGGGACGTGAACGGGGAGTGATGGTTCAGCAGGTAGCCACGTGTAACCCATGCACAAAATAATGGTGGACCTACAGCAAATTCTGGCAAGTTCTTCTCAAGGTTCTCCTCTCCTCCATCTAAAATGGTGGCCAGAGAAGTTCGAAGCACCCTGGAGAACACCTCAAGCTGCTGGCAAGCTGTGGAGACGCTGGTGATTTCACCCTGATATCCAGCATCTGAGATGAGCTAGAAAAGAGAGATACAGTTCAGCAACTAGTTGTAGAACTCTTTGTAGTGAAACCAAATTGGCCACATAGCATAACCCCTAAGAAAAACACACAACAACTCTTTGTAAAAACAGAAAAACAAACCACTCCAGGGATATAGGTGGAAGGCTATATAAAACTTATACACACACACATACTAACACGGAGGATGTCCAAACAGATTTGAAAAACTATGGGCCCAAAGGCTTGACACCCTGGGTTTGTCCCCATTGTCCTGACTTAATTATGAATAGGCTACTGTGACCCACTAACTCCTTTGTTATTATTTAGGCATTTCCTGTACTATCTGTGGCAATATTTCTGCCTGTGTTTTACCAAATGAGCCATGTTGGATGTATAACTACCACCATGTATATCTTTTACTACTTCCTGACTGAATACTTTGGAATTGTTGATGGCTTTTGTATTGCTCAATAAAACACCGACCCCAACTTTGAAATTGTGCGACTTCACTGTAAGTCGCACAATTTCAAAATCAGATGTCATTCCGACTTGCGGTGCGACTTGCAAGACATCTGCCTAGATGTCTATGCAAGTCGCACCAAAAGTAGTGCATGCACTACTTTAGAAATCGGTGCGGCTCCGACCAAGTTGGAACTGCACCGATATGACAGTTCTAATTGCGGACAATAGGGTAAGATTTGGATTTGCAAATTGCATGCCAAGTCGCACCCAGTGCGACCGGGGTCTTAAAAAGGCTTTAATCATAGCTAATTAGATCTGATAGTGTGGTGTAAGCTTTATCTCTTTTCTGCAGTTCTCAAACAAATTTCAGTGCAGAATGAAAAGCTGAATACTGTCTGATAACATTCAGCTGTATTAAATACACAACAAGGGTAATGAATACAATGTAGCAATGTATTGTTGTTACACTGTACATGCCATTTCATTCATATGTAGTATTTGTATGTAAAATAACATATAATCCTATTCAACCCTTTACATTCAATCAATTACCTTAATCAGACCTAATTAACGCTCCCCCATATGTTATTTTTCCGCTGACAAAATCTACACGACACAATATTGAGGTAAAGCATTGTGAATGGATAGGTAGCAAGTAAAAGAAAACTCATGGGACTCTTGCCTTTACAGTGAAGTTCAGCATCAAACAGTCTGGGTGAGCCTCTGCCAGCTTGTAGAAAAGGTCTCTCCATGTTGTGTGTGCGATCATTTGCTCCAACCAAGCCGGAGTCTACAAATCAAAATAAGCGTGATGTCTATGCCCCCACACAAGGCCGACATTGCTGAACAGGAACAATCAGTGGAACAATAGGGCATGTGAAAGATATCACCCAAGTACTGATCCTGACACAAGAGATAACGGCCTGAATTTGGACATGGGATTCCTCACTCATTATCCAACAGTTTTATGACTATCAGCTCAAGCATGACTGCCTCTGCTAGTGTTGTCTAGCCCCCCCCCCCCAGACTTTGCTTTTGCTGTGTCTTATCTCCATCCCCTACATCTCTTCTAACATTCTGCTAAATCTTTGTTTCAGTACTGCTTAGACCTGAAGAAGGGAACATTCCCCGAAAGCTTGTCCTCAAAATTGTATGTTAGTGCAAATAAAAAAAGTATCGCGGACAGTACTCGATTGTTTCTATGAATGTAGGAATGTGCATGGATATATAGGTGTTTAATGAATGCAATGATGCTGATGGGTTTTCAGAAGGGCTGGGACATACAGAAAAGTAAAAATCGCTACGACTGTTACCTCTCCTTCCTCTGTGAAGATGGAATCTGCTTTACGTGGATCAAAGTGTTTAATGAGGAGACTTTTCAGATGGTTCTCTACCGTTTCCTGCACCTGCACCGGCTCCACACCTGTGCAACACAAAAACCTGTAAGCTGCTGAAAAACTACATGTACCAGCATTCTGAGCTTTGTAGCTCATCAACAGCTATAACCCCTGAATTTAAAGCCTCATTAAAATTCCATATAACAAAATCTGTCCCATTATATGCTGTAGGATTTCTGATGTCATATAATCCATGTTCTGCATTAAGAGACCTGACTGGATCAGCCATTCAGCTAACAAATTCACTGTCTGCGCCACGGCGGTGTAATTCTCTGACAGCAGCTGTATGACGTTCTCTGGGGAGCCACCGGCCTGGAAATACCTGGAAGCACAAACAAGGGGAATGAATGGTTTACAACTAGGTTTAGAATGGCAAGCAATAGTGACTTAATGAATCTGTACTGAAGAAGTACACTATAAAGTCAGAGGTGAATGCAAACAGCCAGGGGTACCATAAAAACCAGTATGAGCCTTTATGGGAGCCCTGAAACGTGGGGTGCTCTATAAACACAAATACTGACATCAGCTAGGAAGTCAATGCTTTGTCCCACCCCCTCCAGCTTCTTATGCCTCGCTACTGGCCAGTTAAAATGGACTTTTCAGTAGCTTTACAAGTTTGTATAGAATTTATTCACCAACGGTATCATTAAATACATTAATAAAAACACTTTTTCCAATTTAAAAAGAAAAAACCAAATTCAGTCCTTGAGCTCCAGCCAGTGCCTTTGCTTAGGTTGAGATGATATTATCAGCCTGCTGCATGCAGGAGGAAGCATTTCTTCACATTTCCAGTGATCACCCAGACCAGTGGCGTCCCTAGGCGGGTGCACGCCGCACCGGTGACACCAGACCCTCTCCACGAAAAGGAAAGTTTTAAAGCAAGCCGACAATCCCTGCAAGATGGATCGGATCTGCAGAGTTTGATCCATTACGCTCCCCAATCCGTAGATCCGATCCATCTTGCGGGGATTGTCAGCTTGCAACCTATACGGGGTTAACTGATCTAGGTAAGACTGTGCAAGATCCAGGAATTGTCTGTAACACAAAAATCCAGCCGCAACAGCAGGAACCTCCTCCATCTGACATCACTTTTCGAGCATGTGCAGACCAGACCGGTGCTGAAAGATCAGTTAACCCCGTATAGGTTTCAAGCCGATGATCCCCGCAAGATGGATCGGATCTGCGGATTGGGGAGCATAATGGATTGGGGAGCATTATGGATCGGGCTCCAATCCATTATGCTCAATCCGCAGATCCGATCCATCTTGCAGGGATCGTGGGAGGGGTGACACCAAGTGTTACCGCACCGGGTGACACCAACCCTAGGGACGCCCTTGACCCAGACTGCACAGTTTAACTTTGTAGTCAATCGCTATCAAAGTGAGAGGCTGCAAGAGCGGCTGGTCTGTGTCAGACATTTATAAGCACAGCCAAGAACTGTACAGAAACCAGGATTTCTATGATTTTGTCACCTCTGAGCCAGCTACAAGTAGTAGATAGTGACCCTGAATGATGCCTGAACAAAGATGGCGTCATTCTTTTGGGGAGAAAAGCATGTGAAGGCATTGTTGTCGGGGGAGTGCTGCGATCTCTGTGAGAGGTAATAAAGACCTGGAAGTGTTACACCTGAAGATTACTTAGCCTGCACCTGGCATGAAGGCACATATCACATGCTAGGTCCACTCAGATGGAAAAGACAGGCTCACCACTAATATTCAGGTACAGGTGGTAGCATTCCAAAGCCCTGACATCCTAGCTGAAGTTGTCATAATATACTACTTGTGGCTCTGAGGTTCCAGGGAGGGAGTGGGGTCTGAAGGCTACTGAAAGGTATGTATGGGGCCTAATGGTTTATCTAGTGTACGTCTGTGTTAATTCATCTGACCTCAGCAGAACTGACCTCTTCAAGGAGTTAAATATAGCGGGTTCCATGATGTAGTCCCGGCTGCCCAATTTCTGTAGACACTCCTGCTGCACCTCGGCATCGTCCTCCCCTTCGGCATATTCTTCATCCTGCCACACAGCCAGTACAGGGATCATTAAAGTAGAACTCTTTATAGCACTGATAGGATATATAACAGTCACAGGGCACCAATTCCCAGCATTCCACCCTCCTAACCACCAGATACAAGTGCTATAATGTACCGATGTGCGGTAACTCAGCTACTCAGCCTAGGGCAGCACAGTGGCTAAATGGTTAGCACTTCCACCTGGCAGAACTGGGGTCGTTGGTTCGAATCCCAACCACAGCCCCATCTGCCTGGGGTTTGCATGTTCTCCCTGTGCCTGCGTCGGTTTCCTCCGGGTACTCCAGTTTCCTCCCAAACTCCAAAGACATGCTGGTAGGTGAATTGGCCCTAGTATGTATGAATGTGAGTTAGGGACCTTAGATTGTACACCCCTTGAGGGTTAGGGACTGATGTGAATGTACAATATATATGTAAAGTGCTGTGTAAACTGACGGCGCTATATAAGTACATAAAATAAATAAATCATAGCTTAACAAGACTAAAACAGGGAAAAAAAGCACAGTTCCCATAATGCAATGACAGCTTTCCCAGTGTGATCTGTGCTAGCAGTCTGTGGGATGGAGTGGAAGGGTGGCTGTGTAGGCACATAGGGGGTGATTTACTAAAGCTGGTTCACTCAGAATCTGGTGCAGCTGTGCATGGTAGCCAATCAGCTTCTAACCTCAGCTTGTTCATTTAAGTTTTAGCAGTGAAACCTGGAAGCGGATTGGTTTCCATGCAGAAACACACAAGATTCTGAGTGTACCAGCTTTAGTACATAAACCCCATAGTGTGTGAGGGTGTCAGATACTTGATGACCCATCAGTGGCTCTCCCATTGTAAGCAACGTAGATTAAAGAGGAACCCCACCCAGATCCTGTAAATTCAAATACGAAGTACAATGAAAGTTATGGCGTGACAGATGTGTAATCCATACTGTACTTACCTTTCCACCAAGGCTTGCCTTATGATGCAGTCTGGGGAAGTTCTCTGGTGTCTCGTCACTTCTGCACCACCATTTTGGGTAAGGGCATTTTCCTGGGTGTAATAACCAATACTACAGCCGGCCTCAGAGGATAACACTCCACATCCATATTCAGAATATATACACCTTCCTGCCCAGCCTATTGTAAAATGATGTCCAGACAGGAGCCCTGTTATTCATATGATATGCTCCCAGGATCGGGCCACGCTCCGGCGTGATCTGGTACCATGTGATCGCTGTGGCCAATCACAGCAGATCACATTACAATTGTACACAATAAAAGGCTTTGATTCATGCCTTTCATTGTGTACTGTTGTGATGAGCTCTGTGATTGGCCACAGTGATCACATGGTACAGGACAGGGTCAAATCACAGCTCATCGATACCATGTGATTAGCTGGGGCCAATCACAGCTAATCACAATAGTAAACACTGAATAGTTTTAATGCAGAAACAAAATATGGTTGCTTATAACTGTAAAATTCAGTTACAGGTGTGCCTCGGTTAACGAATGAAAATCCACTGAAAATAATGCCTCGGTTTATGAATTGTTTACAAATTTTTTTGCAATATGAAGTCTGTTAGTGCCAATTTTTAAATGCAATTGCCGGCTTTTTTTTTCCTTCACTATAGCTCACAGAATTAGCTGTCACTTTCCCCAGAGCTAAAGGATAAAGGATACTTTGTTTCTTTTATCTCTGGAAACAAACTAAAAGGAAACATTGTTTTTTTTAACTCAGGGAAATAAACTAAAAAGAAAGTTTCTTTTAGCTGGTGGGAAAGTGACAGCTGATTCTCTGAGCTATAGTGAAGGAAAAAAAAAAGAGCCAGCAATTACATTTACATTTAAAAACCGGCACCAACCTATAGTGACAGTGACTTTTTTTTTTTACTTTTTTCTGACCTGTGGAACGGATTTATTGGTTTTCAATGCATTCTTATTGGAAACGGCGTTTCTGTTAACGAATTTTTCGCAATACGAAACATCCCGGAGAACGCATTAAATTCGTAAACTGAGGTACACCTGTATATACAATCACAATGTGTGTGTAAAAAAAAAAAGTTAAATCCTGATCATCCTAGAATAGTACAGTGTTACTATGGTAACACTGTATTTCTCTGGTCACTGTAAGAAAAAATATAAAAAATGTAACAAAAAAAATTACTAATTAAGTTTTTTTTTTTTTTTTTTTTTACACATACTGTCACCAGTCAGTTTTCCTGATCACCGCCACACCAGTCATATGACAACGCTGTACTGCACAGGTGACAGGATGTAAAAAATTCTAACAAACTAAAAAAAACTTTTCCATTTTCCAAAATATTATGACAAAAAATTACAACTTCAAAAAAATGTGTGCCATGCTAAATACCTTGGACTATCCTAAAAAAAAAAAAAAAAAAAAAAAAAAAAAAAAAAAAAGGGGGTTACTTGGGGGGCAGTTGTATTGTCCTGGCGTTTTCAGGCCTCAGGAAATGAGATCGGCCGTCAGTACACCGGGATCGATCGATTTTCAGACATATCCCATAGTTTGTGGACTCCATACCTTTCCTACAGGCTAAATAATAAACACTGATTTGGGGTGTTTGCACCAAAGAAATGTAGCGAAATACATATGACCTAAATGTATGAAGAAAGGTTATTTATTCGCAAAATTTTGTAACCGAAACAAAGAAAAACTATTTTTTTTTTCACTCTTTTTGCATTTATTTAGAAAAAATAAAAACCCCAGTGGGGAATAAATACCATCAAAAGAAAGCTCTAATTGTGTGAAAAAAATGCTATAAATGTCATATGGGTGCAGTGTTGCACGACCGCGCAATTGTCATTCAACGTGCAACAGCGCTGGAAGCTGAAAATTGTCCTGGGCAGGAAGTGCCGGGTAGTGCTGAGGGTAAAAGGTACTATATATGATCTATAAAGCACACGTCATCTCTGCATTATACTCATAGGTTATATATATATGAACACTACAGGGGAGTGTGTGACAGCATGAAAACCTGTATCCTGCAAGATGTGACACCAGCAGGCTGCCATTGCTAATCTCTCCACCACTCTGCCGATCAGTAGTCACATAAGGAACTATGACTTTCACTTGCTGCATGCTTGTTTCAGCTCTGAGACTCAGAGAAGCCAGGCAGTTGGCATTTTCAGGAGGCCAGCCATGGCAGCCCACAGTTCCTTGTGACAGGTGCACTGTACAATCAGAACATTGATATAAAACCATTTCCAGTGACCGGCAATACAAAGCTGTGTGTGGAGGAGGGACTGTGCTGAGCCAATCAGTGCTGGCATTTGTAGTCCCCCTCCAAGGGAGGACCAAGCAGACTTACCCCTCCTCTATCCTCCCAGTCTCCCACAATGACCCCTCCGCCCATGAAATATTCTCCTTCCATCCTCCCAGATGTGGGGGGTCCCCCGAGCTGCCTCCGAACGCCTTTCCCTGTTACTTCCGGGCACCCAGAGATGACGTCCCCGCGCACCGGAAATACATCAACCTGCGTGCTCGTCATACAAGTGCTGAGCGACAGTATGCTTCCGGCGGCCATTTTCTAGAAGACCATTCCAGGCGTGCAGAGGAATATCCCATATGGGCCGGTAGAGGCGCCGTAGAGCAGATTTGTCTTCTGCTCACCGTACAGGAAGGCCGGCCTCAGCGCCACACCCAGATCTACTGTGCTGATCCCTGAGAGGGGGGACCCAGTGCGAGCACTGCCAGGGACCCCCCCACCTGCTTCCCATTGTGAGGGACATCCCCGCACCTGCTCTGCACTGCCAGGGACATCCTCCCCTCACCTGTTTCCCCGTGCCAGGGACACACCCCCCCACACACCTGCTCCTCATTGTCAGGGACCCCCCACCTGCTTCCCATTGTGAGGAATACCCCCCCCCCCCCCCCGCTCTGCACTGCCAGGGACATCTTCCCCTCACCTGTGTCCCTGTGCCAGGGACATCCCCCCCACACACACCTGCTCCAAAGTGCCAAGGACATCCCCCCACCTGATTCCCCGTGCCGGGGACATCCCCCCCACCTGCTCCTCATTGCCAGGGACATCCCCCCCATCTGCTTCCCATTGCCAGCGACACCCCCCCAGATGCTTCTCCATTCTAGGACCATCCTCAGGTGCTCCTCATTGCCAGAGATACTCCCAGGTGCTTGGTATTGCCAGGGACACATGTAGGTGTTCATTCTTGTCAGATACACCCCTTATTTACGCCTATTTGTTATGGACGCCCCCAGCTGCTCCTCTTTAGGAACATCCTCCTGTGCTGCCTATTACTATAGCCCCCTTGCCCCAGGTGCTTCTCGTTACCAGGGACATCCCCCAGGTGCTTATTGTTTCTAGGGATATCTAGGTGCTCCTTGTTGCCAGGACCATCCCCCAGTGCCCCTTGTCAACGGGACATCCTCCAAGTGTTGCCAGGGACAATCCTAAGTTGCTTTGTGGTGCCGGGGACACCCACAGGTCCTTCTTTCTAGGTGCATCCTTCAGGTGCTCACATATTTTAGAGATATCCCTCAGATCCTTCCCCCAAGAACATTTCCGTCACCCCCCAGTACTTCTTATGTCTAGAGCCAGGCCCAGGTGCTCCTCAGTACCAGGGACAGCCCCAGATACTCCTGGTCATCAGGGACATCCCTCAGATGCTCCTCAGTACCAGGGACAGCCCCAGATACTCCTGGTCATCAGGGACATCTGTCAGGGGCTCCTCAGTACCAGGCACATCCCTCAGGTGCTCCTCAGTACCAGGGACAGCCCCAGATACTCCTGGTCATCAGGGACATCTGTCAGGGGCTCCTCAGTACCAGGCACATCCCTCAGGGGCTCCTCAGTACCAGGCACATCCCTCAGGTGCTCCTCAGTACCAGGGACAGCCTCAGATATTCCTGGTCATCAGGGACATCCGTCAGGTGCTCCTCAGTACCAGGGACAGCCCCAGATACTCCTGGTCATCAGGGACATCCGTCAGGTGCTCCTCAGTACCATGGACAGCCTCAGATATTCCTGGTCATCAGGGACATCCGTCAGGTGCTCCTCAGTACCAGGGACAGCCCCAGATACTCCTGGTCATCAGGGACATTCACCAGGTGCTCTTCAGTACCAGAGACAGCCCCAGATATTCCTGGTCATCAGGGACATCCACCAGGTGCTCCTCATTGCTAGGGACACCCAAAATGCATTTCTTTTAGAGACATTCCCCAGGTGCTCCTTTTTAGGGACACCCCCTGATGTTTCTCCTTTTTCTAAAGATTCCCCCAGTGTCATCCCCAGGTACAGGCCTGATGACCAGGAGTGCTCCTGCCAGTGATGGTTCTTCAGACTGGAGGGACACAATTTCTTCTGTCTTTTGTATTCACTCTCTGACCATAGACACTGCTTCTTGTTTAGGAGAACAAGTTCGTTATGAAATGGGCTTCTATGACGTGTCCCAGGCAGGGGTCACACACACAGGTTGGATGAAGACTGACACGTTCTCTCAGCATATCATGTCCTTCTTTGGTCATATAACAAAGTCCTCTAGGTGATATTTTATATATTGCAGACACGGGGTGTTTTTTCAGTGGGAAAGTGGGGGGGAAACACAGTTCTGGCACCTCCAGCACTGAATGTATGTAATGGAAAAGGCTGACCCTTTTTTTTTTGGGGGGGGGGGGGGGGGTGGATCTATATATGCTTGGTTTGTTGCTGGAAGGTCTGTTGATGCTGGCTGCTGGGGATCTATCATCACTGCAGGGAATCTATTTTTACTTGGTGGTCTATTGTTGTTGGGAGGGGAGGGTCAGTTGTTGGAAGGGATCTACGGTTGAGAAAAGCATCTATTGTTGCTGGGAGATCTGTTGTTGCTGCTTGGGGTCTATTGCTACCTGGATGGTATTATAATGTGGTGGTCCGTTGTTGGGCAAATCTATTGCTGCAATTGTGGGGGATAAATCACTTTTCTTGCTATCATTAAATTCTGTGCACGTTACATAGCACCCCCAGAATGACACTTGGGCTTTCTCTCCCTAAAAGGAGCGATATGGGGTGGAGCCAAAAGAAACAGTCCTTAGCGGTAGCAGAGGGCAGAGACAAGAAGTGACCCAGAAGGGGGAAGTTCCTGCACCTATTCTCTGAGAGGGGGAAAAAAAAAAAAAAAAATAAAACATACACAGCAGAAATTTTACCAAAACAGCTTTTTATGCAACCCCCAACTGTGCCAGATCTGTAATGAGGAAATCCTGTGTCACTTTCAGTATCGATGAGCTTTAAGCCCACCAACTCTGCAGCAATCATCCACAGACTTAAATTTTTTTATAGACTGGAAATTTAAAGTGGTTCTAAAAGGTGAAGGTTTTTTTTTTTTTTTTTTTTTTTTACCATCATGCATTCTATGGCTGAAGGTATTTAAAAAAAACAAAAAAAAAAAAAAAAAAAACCAACCCTCTGTGCAGCATTCCCCCCTAAATACTCACCTAATCCCCCTCTCAATCCAGTGATGTACACTAGAGTCTTGGCTATACCGAGACTCCCTCTCCTCAGTGGCTGAGACAGAAGCAGGAGCCATTGGCTCCCACTATTGTCAATCACAGCAAGTGAGCCAATGAGAAGAGAGAGGGGGCAGGTCCAAGCCACAGCTCCATAGGCAGATGGATACACAGAGCAGCAGGTGCCCCATAGTAAGCGGTTTGCTGTAGGGGCACCCATCAGGAGGGTGGAGCCAGGAGAGCCTGCGGGGGACCCGTGAAGAAGAGGAGGCGGGCTGCTCTGCGCCAAACCACTGCACACAGCAGGTAGTTAGGTCCATATATATTTGGACACAGGCACAATTTTAATACTTTTGGGTCTGTATGCCACCAGAATAAATTAAAATGCAACAATCCAAATGAATTTGAAGTGCAGACTTGCAGCTTTAATTCAGGGGGTTAAACATAAATATCAAGTACACATTTTAGGAACTGCAACAGTTTTTATACACAGTCCCTCCATTTTTAGGGGTGCAAATGTAATTGGACAAATATAATCATAATATGTTCATTTGTAATATTTTGTTCAGAATCCTTTACTGGCAATGACTGCCTGAAGTCTGGAACCCATGGACATTACCAAAGACTGGGTTTTCTCTTTGCCGATGCTTTGCCAGGCTCTAACTGCAGCTGTCTTCAGTTGTTCTTTGTGGGTCTTTCTGCCTTTAGTTTTGCCTTCAGCAAGTGAAATGCATGCTCAGTTGGGTTGAGATCAGGTGATTGACTCTGCTATTGCAGAATATTTCACTTTTTTTTCCTTCAAAAGCTCCTGGGTTGCATTTGCAGTGTGCTTTGGATCATTGTCCATCTGTACTGTAAAGCGCCGTCCAATCAACTTTGCTGCATTTGGCTGAAAGTATATCTCTAAACACCGCAGAATTTCATCCAGCTGCTTCTGGCACATCATCAATAAACACCAATGACCCAGTGCCACTGGAAGCCATGCATGCCCATGCCATCACACTGCCTCCACCATGTTTTACAGATGACATTGTGTGCTTTGGATCATGAACTGTTCCAAGCCTTCTCCACACTTTTTTCTTCCCGTCATTCTGGTACAGATTAGTCTTAGTTTCATCCATCCAAAGAATGCTTTTCCAGAACTGGTTCTGGCTTTTTTAGATGTTTTTTGGCAAAGTCTAATCTGGCTTATCTATTCTTCAGGCTTATGAATGGTTTGCACCTTGTGGTGAACCCTCTGTATTTGCTCTCCTGAAGTCTTCTCTTGCTTGTAGACTTTGACAATGATACACCCACCTCCTGGAGAGTGTCCTTCACTTGTCTGGATGTTGTGAATGGGTTTTTCTTTACCATAGAGAGGATCCTGCGATCATCCACCACTGTTGTCTTCCATGCACAACTATGCCCATTTATGTTGCTGAGGTCACCAGTGCATTCTTCTGTCCACAGAATGCACCAGACTGTTGATTTGGCCACTGCTAAAGTTTCTGCTCTCTGATGGATTTGTTTCATTTTTGAAGCCTTAAACTGGCCTGTTTCACTTGCATGGACAGCTCCTTTGAACGCATGATGTAGGTTCCCAGCAATAGATTCCAAATGCAAATACCACACTTAGAATCAGCTCCAGACCATTTACCTGCTTAATTGATGGAGTAGCCCACACCTGGCCATGAAACAGCTTTTGATTTAATTGTCCAATTACTTTTGGTCCCTTGAAAAAGGGGGGGATGGCTGTAATTCCTAAACCCTTCTTCCAATTTAGATGTACATACCTTCAAATTAAACCGGAGAGTGTGCACTTTCAGCCCATATCAATTATGTAACTATAGCTTGAATAAGTTTTGGTAAATACCTGGGGGGGGAAAAAAAAAAAAATTTTGCCTGCGTCCAAATATATCTAACTATATACCTATAAATATACATAAGGTA